TTAAGTCTAAATTTTAAAGATGTCCACGACTTGGCTGAGGGGATCAAGCCGAAGAGTATCACCTCACTATGAAACAGCTGTCTAGTGTGACAAGTTTTAAACAAGTTTTAAACGTTTTAAACTAAACTAGACGTATAGTTGAGGTGAACGCAAATGTAGCTGTTCTCCGTAACAAATGAATCTATCAAGCGCAAGGAGCTCTATTTCACTAAAAGCACTTGTTTAACCAACAAAAATTTCATCGTTTTTTGAATTACAAAAATAGGTGGTGGGCTTGTCATAGAAGTAAAAACAAATAAATCTATAAGCGGCTAAAATTATGAATAATGCCGACATTGAAATTCAAGATTGTTAAAAATGATAATACAGAATTAAAAACCGCCATTATGTCATAACTAATAAATACAGTACTGAATAGATAGCTATTCCTAAACAAAGGGAATGAAACACATTTACTATTGTCCTTTTATTTTTGCTACAATAAAGTCCGAAATAAGCAAATAAACAAGAGAATTAATTTTACGTCGTTATCATATTTGTCATGATTATATATACATTTATATATATTTAAAAAACCATCCTAATAAAAGCAAAAAAATTCATTATTATAGTAACAGGACAATAAAACATGGTTTCAAAAATGAATAAAACAACTCCAATAATTTTGAGGATAGGCATCAGTCGCTCGCCGATTAAATACAGTAGTATGAATTATTTAAGAAAAATGAGGAAGCTTATATACTTCATATTAGGTCCATATCAGAGTATTCAGTGAAGCTGATGATCACATTTTGGTAGAATATAATTAGGTTCATTTTAAATTTAAATTATTTATGCACCACACAATAAAATTAAGCCTGTAAAGAGATATAGAAAGAATAGTGAGAATAATAAAAAACTGGGTATAAATTACAATGTAAGAGTGAGATAGTCGTGAAAAAGTTAAGTAGAATTCAATCGAAAGGAATTCTTTTAGTTAAAGAAGAATAAAAGAAAGTAACAGCAGTGCCTTCACTAACTTCTATTCCGAACCATGCTTGATAACGACAGAAAACACTGTGTTGCACTATTTCTAGAACACCAACCAAAGAGTTGTGAATGACTAATGGATGACCGATTTATATAGCTTTCCTTCATACAGTGACACCGTGTCAAGTACTGACGATTTCTCCGCTTTTCCCAATCAGTTTAAGGGTTGGCAAATAGTGTACGACATGAAATTCACCAGAGTAGTATTCGTAATGGGTGTCCAAGCCTCAAGTCGGTATTCCAAGATGGCGACACGGATTGAATGATTGCCGTTGTACCCTGACATATGCTGCCTAACCTCCGCATTACTAATATGGTGTTGACACTGAGTGGCACCACTTCTTCAGAGAGGGCTCTTCCCACTCTGGACCGTACCAAGGCATTCGGGGAGGGCAAGGTGATGTTAAGTCAGATTACAGCTTAGTGAAAAGGATCCAATCTGTAATCTAGGGTAGATGACTTGTTTTCATTTACTTAGTGATCGATCGCTGTATTTGTTTTTTGGTCTTTACCGATATTTATAATTTAATTCGGTCATTCCAACAACTTAAATCTATATTTATTCTCAGTGAATAATATATGTGATGACTAAATAATGTTTGTGATTCTCCTTGCTACTGAACGTCTGCATTACTAACATGACGTCGCCACTGAATTATACCAATCCTTCGGAGACAGCGGTGACCGAACATGGAAAACTGTCTAATGTCACCAGCTCAGAGAGACCAGCTTTCACAAGCATAGTACAGAACTGATGTCACCAATGCACTGAAGACTCGATCTTTTACAGCCAGACTAACATCACGAAATCGCCAAAGATGGCCCGGATTTGCACAAGCCGCTCTGGCTTCCACCATACGTGAATTAATCTCATCACTCAGGCAACCACCAGTACTTACATACCTACCCAATTGCATGAAATTGTCGATTACTTGTATCTGCACACTACCAAGAGTGATTGTAGGTTCACGGTCCTGCCAATCCTGTAAAAGTACTTTGCCTATTCCAGGCACAAAGCACATGCCATAGCTATGGACACTTATTGCAGACTTATTAAGTGCGGATTTCATGGCTTGGAAATCATCGCACGTTAAGACACTATTATCTGTATGCTGAAGGTAGAAAAATCTTTCTCTAGGTAACAGACCTGCAACACCATTACCTTTGTTACAGATGACAAAGTTGAAGGGGAATACTGAGACTGTGTAACCCTCACTCCTCATGGGATGATTGTTTATATAGAGCCTTTACGATTTTAATAAGCTGCTTCGGCACACCTTTCTTCAACAGAAGATTCCACGAAACAATCTTGTTTAACGATTCGAATGGGAGCTTGATGTTAAGATGCATAACGATTGTTGGCCTACGATAAGTGCAGTGGTGCTCTAACATTTGGTGGTAGGCAAAGATCTAATAAATAGATTCTCCTGAAGAACGAAAACCAACCTGACCCTGACGAGTAAATATTTTACTTTGAACGATCTGTGAGGTATGACTGGAGCAGATAATCTGGGCGCGATTGGTATCAGACTCATTGCCGATAGTTGCTAGATGATTTAAACACTCTCCGATCGCCATATGGTTGTAAGCGATTCACTGTCAGAGTCAGTAGGTTGCTACCTACTTTATGGAGGGCTGGATATAAGTCGTCTGGGTTTGGCGATTTGTAGCACGCATCACGCTCCATGAACAATTATGAAGATGTCAGTATCTGAGTGGAAGCACGTCATACGGAGGACAGCTTGGACGCAACTGGATTTCAGAAATGACTTAACCTTTCTATCCAACACACAACGAATGCAGGAGATGACCATTGTGGCAGCAGTAGGTCTCAACATGCACAAATGGGAAGCATGATTCTTCGATACAACACTACATGCACCAACCAAATCACAACTGATGGAGAAGCTTTAAAGGATGTCAAAACCCTTACATATCTGAGTAGCATAATTGATGAACAAGATGGATCTGATGCATATGTGAGGGCATGGATGGATTGGAGGAACAAGCGTAGCATTTCTACAACTGAAGAACGTCGGAAACTAAAACGACTGTCAATTAACACCAAAGTCAGAAATTTCAATACAAATGTCAAGATAATTCAACTGTATGGGGCGGAAACTTGGAGAACCACTGATAAACGGAGAAATAAGTATGAACCGATAATGGTGGATAGGACAAACATTGAGGAAAGTACCCAAATGAGCCACAAGATAAGCCCTCACTTGGATCTCTCAAGGCCAAAAGAAAAGAGGATACCAAAGGACATATTACGCCAAGTATTGGAGACAGACATCAGGTGAATGAAGACTAATTGGATAGAACTGGAAAAGAAGGGACAGGAGAGAGTAGGTTGGCGGCTTATGCTCTACTGGGGGTAATAGGCGTAAGTAAATGATGTTCACGAATTTCAGGAATGATCCTAACTAACTTTTTAACAGCTACCGGCTTTTGTTAATCCATTTATATTTTGGTACATACTTTTCTGGAATAAAGAAAGAAATAATAAATATCATAACAGAGTAATGTGAATTCATTTATTTCGTGGTTTCATCACAGCGGATTACAACCTAAAATTATATTATTAAACATATTCTATACTGGAACTATTAAAAATAACCTGAGTTAAATTGTGGAGATAGATTAACTGATATTAAGAGATATCGATGATTAGAGACTTTGAATGACATGACTCAAAACCGTTTGCATTGGCGCAGGTGGATCCACTCTTTATGTTCTTTCAAATTGTAACCTACTAAATTCTTCATCACTTTTCCTTTTTAAGTTTATTTCACTAGGTTATACTTCTTGAATAATATCTTCGAACCCTAATCTCTTTGATTACTGCTAATACTTCTATCTACTACCTCTACTAGTACTATGGGATTTGAATCGACAATTGTGTCTCTGCGCTAATGAGGTATGGTAACATGAACTGATATACATACGTACGAAGTTCTACATTTCTATTGATTGACTGATATTAAGATATCATAATCAGGAGAAATTAGAAAATAGGTTTTATTTTCATATCCTTTTAGAATATTCATGTATTTGAATAATAAATAAGTGAACGAACATTTGAACAATTCTACTATATTAATCTATCACCATTACAATTTAACTCCAATTTATTCTTGATATTTTCAATATACAATATGTAAACTTAATTCATTTTGATGATTTATACTCTAAATTTAGGTTGTTGTAAACAGCTGAAAGGAATCCATGAATTCACGTTTAATCTATTACGATAATTAGTTATGCAGTTATTTCGTTGTTTATTCGAAAATTTTAAAAAAATGGTTTGCAAAAAGAAATCGCATGAAATAATTTTCGTTTTGTAAATCTTAAAAATAATCAATGCTATCATTTTTTTTAAAACTAAAAAAACAATTCAAAACAAAAAAAATTATTTCTAAAATAAATAAATATAATTTTTTTATTTTTAATAGAGTATTATAATTTTTATAAAACACATGGTGGAGAGAAAAAAACAACGCATCGAAGGCATGAATGAAATGTCTTGTTTTTATTTTATTTTTTTCAATAAAAAAAGAAAAGAAATGAGAAATATTTACAAATGATGTATGTGTGTGTGTTTGTAGTTTCTTTCATAAATCTAAATGACAAAAAATTAATTACAAAAAAAGGAAAAAAAGAAAAAAAAGAGGAATTACAACAAATTTGTAATTTAATCACTTTCAAAGAGTAGTTTTTTTATTTTTTTGTTACAAAATGATTTTTTACATTGTGTGATTTATTTATTTGGTTCGTACAAATAAATTTTTATCAAGAAACACTGAAATTATTAGCTACATTAAAATTAGGACTTGAAAAAAAATATTGTTTTTTCTGTTTTGTGTTTTTTTATACATTAAAACAAATAGACTGATAATAATAATAATGATAATAAGTTAAATAATCATTGACATTATTATTATTATTATTATTATGATTAATAATAGTACTATTATTATTAATATATTTCATTGATCAATTGATAGTTATGATGATATCTATAGCAAGTAAAACTTATTATTCTAATTGATTTGACTCTTCCACATTTTGTTTACAACTATTTAATTCTTTACGATATTGTTTCATCAGCTCAAGAACATTTGTTGTAGAATATGTTGTATTTGTTGTATTCAATGGACAAAATGATGATAATTTTGAAATACTTTTATGAATATTATGATTACTACTACTACTACCACTACCACTACTACTACTATGATTATAACAACATGTTGGTATAATTGAATTACCATGTAATAAATCATTTGTTGAATGAACTGTCGATAATAAATTCAATTGTTCACATGTTTTCTCTTTTTTTTTTATTGTCTCCTCACTGGTATGATGAATTAAATCATTCGAATTATTATACATTGGATAATAGGATAACCATGGATCAATAAGTAATTGATTCACTGTTAAACGATACGCTGGATCAATAGTTAATAAACGTATTAAACATTCTTTACAATAAGTTGTAATATAATTATCTAATTTTTCAATTGTTTTTTCTATATTACATTGATTTAATTCATGCATTAATTGTCTACCATTTTGTGATTGAAATGGTGTTTGATTAGTCAGTAAGATAAATACAATAATACCTAAACTCCATACATCACATTGACGTGTATATGATCGACCGTGTAATACTTCTGGTGCCATATACAATGGTGTACCGCATGTATTAGCTAATGGTTCTTCATTTCTACGTACTTTTATAGCTAAACCAAAATCAATTAATTTTGTTTGTAATTCTTTCGGTGGATATTTCTCTTCAAAATTTATACAGTGATGATTATCAAATTGTAATGATCGGAATGTTGATTGTAAATTGCAATGATGATCATTTGTTGTTGATGTTGTTGTTTTAGTATTATTATTACAGTCTAATAATGTAGACGAATTATGAGTAGTATAAATATTGATTGGTTTTGTAACATGCATTGATTTATTTCGAGTAAATAAATATGAGTATTCTGTTTCAGTTGATGCTGTTGTTGTTGTCGTGGTTGTAGTGGTTGTAGTTGTAGTTGTCAATATGGCTGAACATGTTGTATCATTATAATTGAAACATGAATCATTGTGTAACATTGTGGTATGTTCAATTTTAGGCTTTTGATATTTCATTACAGAATCTAATGAAATAATTCTATTGTCTAATGAATATTTATAATTTGATTTAAAATTTACCAAAGGTATAGTACGAAAATCTAAATGGACTTTATTTGATAACATAATATTACCAGGTTTTAAATCTCTGTGTACAATACCACGATTATGTAAATAGGATAAAGCTGAAGCAATTTGTCTGACAATAGCTACTACAATATATTCTTGTAATGCAGTATTTTTTGGTAATTTTTTCATATAATATTCTAATGAATTACCTTCACATAATTCTGTAATAAGGAATAAAATGTTTGGTGACTCAACTACAGAGAGAAGTTGTATAATTCCAGGATGTTTAACACGTCTTAATATAGATATTTCACGATCTAAACGTGCACGTTCACTTGACGAGAAAGATTTTGCCCGTGAAATCTATAATTATAATTAGAAAAAAATAATTAAATAAGTAAAAGGTGGTTAACCAATTCTACCTTAACAAAAAAGCAATATTATTTATGTTTACACGTAAGTGTTACTAACTGATAGTAGTTAGTGGTAATAGAAATGATGTCACATCCATTATTCGTTAACTGTACACATACATATCTCATAGAGAGTGATAAGCTTGAAACACTTGGGTAATGATGGTTATATGAAAAGAAGAATAAAAGTATTCAACGATTTATCGAAAACAAACAACCTACAAGGATTCGAGTCAACAAGTCTTAATTATTCTATCCTAAAATGATTTATAATACCTCTACTGTTTGCTTGGTCCAAAAAAAACCTGACGAATAGTTTTATTCAGGTTGTCTAGCTTTTTTTGTTTTGTACCGTTGCCTCTTTTCATAATTCTGTTTTATTGTTAACATACTTAGTAGGCTGATCAATCATTCATCTGTTTCACATTGAATGGCTTGATAAAGTTGACTTTTTCAAGTTTTAATTTTTTTTTAATGTATGCAATGAAATATTAGTGTTATGGGTAAGAAGGATTTGATTTTGACCAATTTGGTCTCGTGTGCTGTTACAGGTATCAGGGCGGTTGTCACTTCCCGGCTGCCCACACCGTGGAAGGTTGCTTCTTGAGAGACCTAAGATGGAAGATAGATTAGTGTTGATCTTAGAGACCTGGGTGCGTGACCGCAGAGCCCAAGGGACAACTGCTTGAGGCCGGTCACGCACGACCTTTTGATGAAAGGTTTTTTGAGTATTAGCTCCGCTCTTAAAAGCACTTAGTGGGCACCCTTACCCAAGGAGACGGAAATCCGTGAGGTAGGGTGAGGTGTGACATTTTTAGGGTCGACCTTTTCTAACCCTTCTTTCCTTGTGAGAAGGCAGCATCGCTGCAGATGCTGGTTGTCCGAGGGAAACACCTTACTGCTGTCACACCCCTCTGCAGTCAGCAGTACGACTTCGCCCTCAGACCTTGGGTAGCTGCTTTTAGTCTCATCGTTCTCCAATCGACCTGCTTGGCATGGTAGAACCTTCAGGAACATGTGTCTCAGTCAGTATAGCTCGTTCGGGTCATGACGATAGGCAAGCCCGACCACCACGTCAAGGTAGCAGCTACGGTCGGGGAAATATTAGTGTACATTAGAGAGAATAAGGATGACAGAGAACTAATTGGATATAATTTTATTTGCCTATATATGTTTCTTTAAGTTACATGATGTGACATTTTAAATAATAACTCTATTTAATCAACTGAAATTAAGAAATAATCAGAGATAAATTGCGATGAATAAGTTCATCACAAACTAACTTATATAAAAATGACGTGGAAAAGTTTAGTGACTATTGAACTTATTAAGCGATTACAAAAACTTTACAACTTGAACTGATATTTTTCATTAAGATGAATTCAGTTTTTAATACTAACACTAATTGTAACGTAAGATTGTATATGTTGTTTAAGAATGACATTGAATGAGAAAGCGTTTATGTATGTGATAATTTGAAGGCAAATTCTTTGATGGAATAGAGCATTGTGAATTTTGACATGAATTTCAACTAAGACGCAGACAAGTATACATATGCTTAACATAAGTAGGAATTTAGAGATTATTTATTTCGAACATACTTTGTATCAATAAATGGAGATAGTGAATATGATATTTATAAGAATTCTATACCATGGGTAAATAATTGTCTAGGGTGTTCTTTAATTTTTAATGTAAACTGTTTTCTAACTAATAAAATTTCTGTACAATAATAAGTAGAAATAATTCTAATAGTTTATTAAGAAAATAAATCTTTAAAATGACTATGTGTTTCGAACTGATGAATGAATATATATATATATTTTTGAAACCATGAATCGACCGATGTTAGACCACCATTAGAAACCTCGAAGCACTGGACGGCCGTTTCATCCTAGTATGGGACTCCTCAGCAGTGCACATCCACGACTCCTTCACTCCGCAGGATTCGAACCCAGGACCTTCGGTATTGTGCGCGAACGCCCTAACCGTTAGACCGCTGAGCAGGTATCTAACGGTGTTAATGTATAACTTGATCAAATTCACCGAGTTGCGCAACCTCATACACAGTCTTCGGTAGACACTGCCTACACCCAAACAGGTTGAACTTCACTGGTCACGTCTTCCCACTAAAACTCGGAGAAGATTCCTCACGAAGCTAGTCACTAGTGAGCACAGGTAATTTGCATTACGGGGTTTTGAAGACTGTTAAGTCACACATTTTTTGAAACGGTTCGGGCGTTCGCGCACAATACCGAAGGTCTTGGGTTCGAATCCTCCGGGGTGCAGGAGTCGTGGATGCGCACTGCTGAGGAGTCCCATACCAGAACGCAACGGCCGTTCAGTGCTTCCAGGTTTCTAATGGTTGTCTAACATTGATCGATTCATGGTTTCAAAAAATGTGTAACTTAACAATCTTCACAACACCGTAATGCATATATATATATATATATATATATATATATATATATATATATATATATACACATCCGGTTTTACGTTGATTGTAATTAATTGAAATACAGTATTTTAGAAAGCGCTAAGCAAACAATAGATTTCCTCTTGAAAACAAACTATCACACGACAAAATGATTTTAAAAAAAAGCCTTTTTCTATTGATATCATATATATAATAAACACAAACGCTACATATAATGAATAATGATAAGGTCAGTGATTTTCGTAGCTATAGCAAATGTGATAATGTCTATAATTAAATAAACAGAACAATATAGACTGAAAATTATAGGGTTTTTCATTTCGGTAAATTTGTTATCATAGACAATGGATTAACAAATAAATGCTTATATATAAATATGCACACCAGGCTAAAAATAGTATTAATTATACTTGCAAATTAGATGTATAACTGTTAAACAGAAATATTTCATTGAATGAAAAAAAATAATAAAAAAAACATTTCTACATAAGTTAATGGTGTTGATTGTTTTATAAATTAAACTTATAGAATTGATTATAAACTATGCTAAGTTTGATTTACTTCTTTAGTTAACAAACAAATAATTGAAATCATTTGTGATGAATAATCTTCATTATAATTATGATCATATAACAATAGGGTAAAGTTATCTTTGATAACACCAAAAGAATATTTCGTGATAGGCGAGTTTCTAATAAATGTCAGTTAGCTAGAATGTACAATTTTGTACGTATGTACATCAGTTCAAGTTGCCATTAGCACATTAGCATAAAGATTTAATAACAGTATTAAACTAAAGTGAACTCATGAAATATATATATTCACTGTGGAAAAGTTTTGATGTGGTCATCTAAAAAGGTACTCTTGTTGTTTATGATAAAGTCAGTTGGTTAAAATACAAAATGATTCAATCAATTAGATAGTATTGCCTTTGGCTACACAAGTAAAACGCATAAAACTGATTAAAACTGATGCGATTTGTTAGCGATTCAAATTCTATAATAATAATAATCTCCCTCGTAAATGATATTGAACACTAAGATAATTAGAAATAATAATAAAATTATGCCAAACAAAAAAAAGGTGATCAGTTGTCGTAAGTAAGTAAGTAAGTAAGTAAGTAAGTAAGTAAGTAAGTAAGTAAGTAAGTAAGTAAGTAAGTAAGTAAGTAAGCAAGCAAGTAAGTAAGTAAGTAAGCAAGCAAGCAAGTAAGTAAGTAAGTAAGCAAGCAAGTAAGTAAGTAAGTAAGCAAGCAAGCAAGTAAGTAAGTAAGTAAGTAAGTAAGTAAGCAAGCAAGTAAGTAAGTAAGTAAGTAAGTAAGTAAGTAAGTAAGTAAGTAAGCAAGCAAGTAAGTAAGTAAGTAAGCAAGCAAGTAAGTAAGTAAGTAAGTAAGTAAGTAAGTAAGTAAGCAAGTAAGTAAGTAAGAACAGGAACTAAGCAAACAAAAATTCAGGGAATATATAAAGAGGAAAATGATCATTATAAGAGCTGAAAATAGGTAATTATAATGATAAATACAATAGACTGTTAGTTTATACAAATATTTTAGCATACCACACAACAATATAATTGGCGTTACATTACACACTTGAAAATTATCGAGAATTAAATCGTCTACTGAATGGTTACCAGAGCAATATGTTGTTAAACATGTTTCATTTAGTACACATTCTAAAATATTTATTCCATATCAGTGAAATTCTTGTGAGAATTAGGATATGAAACGCCATAACAAAGAAACCAATCATTTGAAGCTATAAATGCACTTAAACAAACTTATCTTGCACAAAGTAACAACGATAATTAAATTATTTACTGACATAATATCTACATATATTGGTATCTCGATCTATCATAGCTGACAAGCATATCAAGTGATTATTTACATTGAAACTAAAAGTATGTATATAAGGGAAGACCAGTAGTAGTTATGTTTCCTGGAATTGATGATCTGTTTAGGTAATTGAGAGAATAGGAACGTTTTAGCATTTTTTCGATTCACATGCACAACTTATTGTAAACAAGAAGTAAAATTTAAAAACTAACTGATAATCTCTTAACTATAATTGATGATGGATTTCATTCTAATATAGTTGTTGACCAATTCATTTTGATGTAAATAAGACATTGTTTTTATGTACGTAACTATCACATTAGAACATGGCACAGATGTAGACTAGCTTAAGTTGTTAAACTCCATTAACATTACGGGATAAAAGTAACAAGATGTCAAGAAAAAGAGACCTATCAATATTAGTTCAGAAAGTCAAACTTGTAAGGAGTAAATAAAGGAATGCCGGAATTCAAGTCAGTCGGTCAGTTAGTCAACAACAACACAGAACTGCGTACGTACATACATCAGTTCAAGTTGCCATACAATATTAGCACACAGATGTAATTGTAACTTCTAATCCCATAGTAGTAGAGGCAGTAGCAGTATGAACAGCATTAGGAAATTTTAGCGTTCGAGAATATTATTCAAGAAGTAGAATCTAGTGAAATAAATTTCAAAAGAAAAAGGTAAAGTGATGAGGAATTCAGAAGGTTACGATTTGAGAGAACACAAAGAATAAATGCACCTGTGCCACTGCAGACGGTTTTGAGCCACGTCATTCAGGGACTCTAACCACAGATTACAATCATCTCGTGGACCCCAACCAGGTAGTCGACAACTACCAACATGAAATAATCCACTTGTCAGTGATTTTATGGATTGAGAGAAGAAAAGAGTGTAAGGATCAGTTCAATTTAGAATGACTCCTAAACATTTTAGTTGCAGTCTTTGGTCAAGTTTCAAAGCATTTTCCTAGTCAAGTTTATCAAGAATAGTGGCAGAATTCTACAGGGTGCTGATCATGCATTCTTTAAATTAAATTTTAAATTAATTATCACAACACAAGTTCAATTAAAACTTTGAATTGTATGTACATTTATGTAGTACCAGATTATCTAATGCAGAAAGTAACAACTAGTAATGATTATGTTTGTTTCATCAAATATAATTATACATATAAGATACATTATCATACATACACACTAAACGACAATGCAAGCATGTTCGGGATACGGTTTCCCCCTTGAAGTGAGAAATGTTGCTTCAGGTTGGGCTTGCGTCGGCGCCTGAATTAGTAGTAGGCAGTGAAGTAGTTGAGCATGTTGACCGCCTCACTTATCCTGGAAGTCTCATCAGTGACGATGGCCCGATAACTGACGAAATCTCAGCACTGATACAGAAGGCTCGCTTGACTTTTGCCAAGTTGTGTCACTTATGGCGTAGGCGAGATATCCATCTGCTAACCGAAGGACGAGAGTACTGCGCAGCAGTTCGCTCCGTCCTATTTTATGGCTGTGAAACATGACCAGTAAGAGTAGAGTATATTCGTAGGTTATTGGTTTTCGATCATAGGTGTCTCTGAAGCATTGCTCGTGTATCCTGGGACAATTGAGTAAACAATGCTGTTGTTATGAAGAGAGTACTAGGTAATGTTGGCAGATTAACAGATGAAGTGCTGAAACTTCATCAGTTGAGGTGGTTGGGACATGTATTATGAATGGCAAAAGACCGACTGCCTCAACGAGCGATGTTTTGTGGTGTAGGGGGAGGTTGGAAGAAAGTTAGGGGTGACCAGACCAAAACATGTCACAAATCCATGATGTCGCTAATAAATGGATTGAGTCATGTTGGAAGGTATCGACTACCTGGTTGGGGCCCGCGAAATGATAGTAATCGATGGTTAGAGACCTTGTACGACATGGTCCAAAACCATTTGCAATGGCGCAAGTGCATCCACTTGTTGAGTTCTATGAAATTCTAAGCTTCTGAATTCCTCATCACCTCTTTTTTTCTCTTTCTAAAGTTGTCTCATTGAATAATATCTCTGAACCCTAATCTTCTCCATTACCGTTAATACTTCTACTACCTCTACTACTTTGGGATTTGAATTAACAATCGCATCTCGGTGCTACTGTTGCATGACACCGTGAACTTATATAAGTACGTACGAAGTCTTACGTTGTAACTGACTGAGTGACTGAGTGTACACAAAGGAACCAACGTAAATGAGGTGAGTACACAGACTCGAATATAAGTGTACCTTATAAACTGTAGTGAACTGTCGACTTTTAATTAAACAGGAAACGCGTTAGAACCACTTTATTTATAGGATTATATAACAATATAAATTAATCGAGCTCAAGTTGCGTCGGGTAAAAGGAGACCTGTCTATTAATCAGTTGTCAGACTTTGTAGTTAAATCACATTTATTTCCACAGTTAGTCTTCAGGAAGTAATATTAAACAAAGTATATCTGGTTGATTCAAAATATAAGTATACATAAAAGCAATTTTGTGGACTACCAGTGGTTGACTAACACAATTTCGCTCTCCAAGTCGTCGAAATTTAAAAAATTCCTGCCTATAAATAATAAGGAAGTTAGTTTTGTAACGATGCAATCAAACTATAAACTATTCAATAGTACAAGACTTATGACAAGTCTAAAATTCATGTCGCATTCTAAAGAAATGGCTAAATATAAAAAGGTTTTACAGTTTTATCAATAAGAGATTGCAAAGATTTAGTTTGGCGAAAATCAACTGCGACATTTTGAAGCTTGATATAATTTTTATTATGATTATTTCTAAAACAAAGGTCATTAGAATCCAGATTTCATAATGCCCCTGAAAAAAGTCTACCTTTTACTTTAGATTCGCATAAAAATAACTTTGAACAACCGAATTCAAGCAGCAAATGAGTCATGTATATAGCTAAGATTGTAATACAAAAACAGATGAATACGGGGTTTGTAGTTTACGCAAAAAGAAAGCATTCAGACCGAACAATAAGCTTGGGTTTCGCTCGTACTTGCCTTTTTAATTGCACATTTCATACCATCACATTTCCGTATACCACGATAAACAATGCCAAAAGTACCTTCACCTAGAACTGGACCGATTTCATATACTTCTTTTATCTGTGAAGGCGTATTAAGACGGACAAATACAAAGCCATCCTCCTTTAAATTTGTGCTGCATGAAAGTCCTTGTTCTGTTTCATTCCCTTGTGTGCAGTTACTATTTTCCATTAAACTGATTCATCGAACAGCAGCTATACATTAAGCATGTTAAACTGATGTACGAAAAATTTTGAAAGATTGCCACTTTTTGTATGTATATAACTTGAGGTAAAATTTCGTATAAAATAAAGTATTAGATATAAATAAGTTATATAAATGATCGATAAATATTTCATTATTTAGACAAATATTGTCGTGGCAACCAACGTCAATGGTTTGATTTTGTTGTTTGTTTTCGCGTTCTGTTCCCTTATCTCAGATTGTAACATTTCTGATACTTCTTACACACTGTAATAAGAAACCTATTGGTTTAAGAAGCTATTCCGATGGGAGCAGATGAACAAAACCAAGAAGAACACTCAGAGAAACTGGAAGATGAGAATACTGTTACTACATGTATTGCAGGTGTTGTGGATCCAGAAGAAAACAGAGATTTTGGTGAAATACGGAAAGAAAGCCTTCAAAGTGCAATTAATTTAGATTCTCTAGATGATCCTCAAAAACGAAGGCAAGAGAGGCTATTCTCTGCAAAAGGTATTACCATTAAACAATATATTGATCAGGTGTTGTGGATCCAGAAGAAAACAGAGATTTTGGTGAAATACGGAAAGAAAGCCTTGAAAGTACAATTAATTCAGACTCTCTAGAAGGTCCTCAAAAACGAAAGCAAGGGAGGCTATTCTCTGCAAAAGGTATTGCCCTTAAACAATATATTGATAAGCGTTTCTGAAATGTAGATAACTGGTACGACGACCCCAATCAGTTGGATTACATAAATGACTGTAGATCACATGGGGCTACACCCTCAGGGTACTTTCTACGTCATATGAAGGATGAGAACCTAAAACTGAATTGTAGTGCATTAGGAATTAAAAAGCTCAAGCCAATTTTTCTTAGCATTTCAAATAGTTACAACATCACACATCTGGACTTAACCTGCGCTTGTCTCACTGATGAGGTAATGATACTACAAAAGTATGTTTCGCACAAATCTAATGTGTAGAAATTGTTGTTTTATAAAGTACTGTCGAAATATTTTCACTAGTTCTTTTGAATTTATATCTCAATTGAATCCGCAGACTTGAAAACAATATGTCAGGATACTTTTTAAGCATTCAAGTAACTGCAATTACATTGTGTCTGAAGTCTTACGGTAATATATATCTGGTCTCATTGTTTGTTCTCGGAGTCGGAAAAAACTGATGTTACTGCTTTAGAAATGACACAAAAGATAGTTTCACATTCACATCTATTCTTACGATGTGAGTTCAACCCAGTATGCACAACTTGCTTCCAGAATTTAAATATTTAATAGGCCCTTATATTTTTTGAAATTAAACCGGAAAATATTTCGATTTGCACAGTGAATTCTGTGACGAGTAGTTTTATATTAAAACAGCGTTGTGACAGCTTTTGGAATAATAATATCTAAGTTCTAAACAACAGACTACTAAACTTATATATCTAGGATATTATCCAAAGTTAATAAGCCTTCTAAAATCTTTGTAGTTCATTGCAGTCAACGCAGTAACAGGAGCACTGACCGACTCAAGCAGTTTCCTCGTTCTAGGTAACAAGACGATCGAATGTCATATTTTACGTAGATATACAAAACAGTGTCAGTTTTAAGTAGAAATATATCTTTTTTACATGCAGATTACGATTCCATTGATCAAGAGGTTTTACTCTTAGCGTTCATCACTGAAAAGTGTACCAAAATAATTTATAGATCATGTAAAGACTGTCTGTTCAAATACTGATGATCAAATCGCGGTTTATGGCTATCTGTTACCAGAACTATCAACCTCAAAAGATGTTTATTAGGGTTGTCCCCGACTTGACTAATGTCCTCCTAAAAATGAAGACTAACTAAATCAAATTTTTAGTAACTTATCACCCACTAGAAAGTTTAGATATCGACTTAAAAAGCTCAGAAATATAGTCTTATTTGGTAAGAACGTTGAAGAATTCTGAGGTTTTGATAACCACAAACTGCAATTCTGACTTGTTTGAAATAAAAATGTTGCTGGCCTGCCTCAAAGGCTGAACCAACGATAGGGAGTGAAGTACCTAAATGCATCAATAGTCCATACTGTTTGGAAATCGGGTTGGTCCCCGTAAGTTGACAATCGACGAAATTTCCACATCCCTTTGGAGAAATATTGGCATTTGGCAACTTGTATCGCATGCAAGAAGTTCATCTGCCTATCGAACGGTATGTACATTGCCTAAGAATATAATCTGCATCAGTTTATGACCATATGACATCATCTTTAAAATAAAACACGAGCTTTGCCTGACTGTTTTCATCACAATTTTTTTTCAAAAACTGCTCACGTTTTGTTAGCAAACTTACTGAAAAATTTTGAAAATCAGTTGGTGAAGTTGTGAATTTAGTCTGTTAAGAGGGTTGGAGCACTTTTCATAAATGCCGTATCACCACTGCCTAATTCGACAAGGTATGTTTTCTGGTATACGGGTGGATTAGACCAAAGCTAGGAGTACTTAGGCCAATACACAATATTCACCCGTAAGGTCGCTGACGGTTGGTCTTAGTCATGTTCACAGATGACAATAAGGATAATAAATATAATTTTTAGAGGGGTGAAGTAAACAGAAGAGAAATGTTCAACAAAGTATTTGACAATTGTAATGGGAGACCTAAATTCCAAGGTTGTAATGGACAACATTAGATGTGAAGACATCCTAGGGACTACAAGGACAAGAAGGGAAATAAATTTTGCAAACCTATATGTCTTCAAAGAACTGATCATAGGCGGCACCATATTCCCACATAAATGCATAGAGGAAGCCGCAAGGACTTCACAGGATCACACCATACAAAACCAAATTAATCATATCTGCATAAACGAAATGTTCAGGTGGATGGTAAAAGACATGAAAACCCAAAGAGGAGCTGACATAGCCTCAGATAATCACTTGCTGATCGCAAAAATGAAACTGCAATTCAAGAATCACTCGGAAACGGGTGAGCTACATCAAAAAAGTTTAATACGGCATTTCTTCGGGATACCGTAAAACTCAACCACTTCAGGATAGCCCTCAGCAACAGACTCAAGGCCTTTCACAGTCTACTGAATAGAGCGGAAACTTCCATCGAGAACAACTGAAAAGGGATCAAGGAAGCAATAATAACTGGCCGAATACACGGAAGCAAACGAGGAAGTGAAGAGGAACATTAGAGATAACAAACGTGAATATATGACAGATCTAGCGATGATAGCAGAAGCAGCTGCATGAAAGAGAAACATGAAACAGCTTTACAATACAGTCAAGAAACTCGCTGGAAAATATATTAAACCAGGACAAACAGTGAAGGACAAAGAAAGCGAAGCGGTCACTAACATTTAAGAACAGCGAAACATGCTTTAAAGAACTGTTGGATAGACCAGTCCCATAGAATCTACCCACCATCGAAGTAGTAGCTACGGACCTATCAAATGACGTTAGCCAGTCAACAATTGAAGCAATCAGCATGTCCTTCAGACAAGTCAAGAGTGGCAAAGGCGAAAGACCAGACAACGTACCAGATGATTCCCTGAAAGCAGATATATCAGTAACCGGAAAAATGTTCCACTCACTCTCCACCAAGATTTTTGGAAGAAGGACAACTACCAACAAACTGGTTAGAAACACACTTCATTAAGACACCATAGGAAGGTTATATCAGGAAGTGGGAGAACTATAGAGGCCTCACTCTTCTCTCAATACCAGGAAAACTCTTCAACAGAGTGAAAGATTACGAAAACGACCACAGAGATACCTAACTTTAGTGATAAAAACAACTGATTACAAGTTTTTTTCAACAGACCAATGAACACACTGCATCGAGAATTAAAGTCAGACATGAAAGGAATGAATGGCGGTTGGATAGAACTGGAGTGGAAGGCCTGGGACAGAGTTGGTTGGAGAATTTTGATCGATAGTCTATGCTCAATTAGGAGTGACAGGAGTGATTAAGCACGGCTTCTCACAAATTAAGCTCCCGGTAATGTTCGTATGAACCGAAAAGGCTGTACTGACAAATTATTATCATCACTCAGCGACTGTGAAAATGTTTTTCAAAAACAAGCGAAAATAGATGGCATCGGAAAAATGGAAATCAAGCTGACTAGAATACCAAAAAAGATGAAAAATGGGTCAGTCTTCGGCAATGGCCTACTCGTACGTTTGAAGCCCTCGGGTTTGTCTATCCCTTAATTTTGTCGGTTCTTGAAGGTAAATAAAAACGATCTCCCTCTTCGTCCGATAATGTATATGAATAATTCCCTGGGGAATGGCTTCCTGTCTTTGTTCATGGACACTAATCTAAAACCAAAATGTCAGGTTGAAAGAGTTCCAACTGTGTCGAAGAAATTTTTATCGTTGGATTCGAGGGGGATACGGCAGTCGATTTGGTAAGGAACAGAGGATATTCAGATCCCTTGTAAAGAAACTTTACTCATCAGAGATGCAAATTGTTTTCTACATCATAAAACTCATTCTATGGGTTTCAAGGAGGGAATGCCACCTTGAACCACGTCAGTGTGTATTCATCAGTCTACTTGCTCCGCAGGAGCATATGGTCATATGGTCACCTCAGGTCAAAATCCACTGTGTGAATAATTTTTCAAGATCTTTGATAAAGTGAAAAGAACCAGCTAGAAAAAGGTTTGGATGAGGAATATGTGCACAGCTAAGGTCATGATTTCAAACTTGATCTCTGTGCACAGAAGAGTTATATTCAACCACTTACTCCTCATTGGTCTTAACACTCTTTCGGATTTTTACAAATTATTAATACTAATTGATTACCTAATAAAGTAGACAATTATCCTTAATTTTTGTAGCATAGATTTGTTTTTAATCTCTTATTGTTTCTAAAACTGTTTCATAATGTACTTTATTATAAGTGCTTTGACAGACAAACAGTATTTAAAAAATTATTCTTTGAAATAGTTTTTTTTATCTATTACGCCAGACTGCAAAATTTCAAAAGATCACACATTTTCATTGTATGATATACTTGTTAGAATTTTTCTAAATATCCTATTGTCATATGTTTAAGGTTCGGTAATAAATTGAAAAACAATTTACACAAATTCATTTCATTTTAAATTACTTATTAGTTACAATAGTTGATTTGCTGAACTTGCTCCACGCCTAGTTGTGTATATCTTCTGGTTGATATACTTTGTTCTGCTTGTATGAATTTTGAAAAATTTAAATGAAATGCGAAAGAAACATACATTTTAAAGCTTTTTTCTTTATTGTTTCTTGTCATTATCATTTCTAAATGATTTTTCTATTGCGAACTTCATTATAAGTCTAATTGTTACAAGTCATTCCTGTTTATGAAGTATAAATACCTGAATCTTAAATTCTCATAGTCCACAGGTATTTATTAATAAAAAGTGTTGTCATTTGTCATCATTTAAGATTTGATATGTATAGATATATATTGAATAGTTTGAGGTATTTTAGAACAAATATGAATGGAATTTTGATTCATCAATAAAATGGAATAATACGCAACATGACAATTCAATATTTACGATGAGAGGTTACTGATCTAACCTCACAAATCAATTGAGATTAACTTCATGATTATCAACCAAATAAAATAACGAATCGATAAACAGAATACCAGACAGACAGATAGACAAATACAACGCAGAACTTCGTACATAAGTACAACATTTCAGGTTGCCATACCACGTCAGCACAGGGACGCAACTGTCAGTTGAAATCCAAGATTGATAGCGATAGTAGAAGTATTAACAGTAATGGAGAAGATTAGGGAGCGAAGATATGATTGGAGAAGTATAATTCAGTAAGATAAATTTAGAAGGAGAAAGATAGAGATTATGAGGAATTCACAATGAATGAATACACCTGCGCCGTCGCAAACGATTCTGAGCCATGTCGTTTAATGTCTCTAACCATTGATGACTTTCGTCTCACGGACCCCAACCGGGTAGCCTACATCTACCAACATGACTCAGTCAACTTGTCAGTGACATCATTGATTTCTGCCATGTTTTGGTCTAGCCGCCCCTAACTTTCTACCAACCTATTCCTGCATGGTAAAACATAGCTTGACGAGGCAGTCGGTTGTTAGGCATACGTAACACATGTCTCAACCACCTCAACTGATGAAGTTTCATTACTTCATCTATTGATTTGCCATCCTTACCTAGAACTCGTTTCCTAACGATAGCATTGCTTACTCGGTCGTCCCACGATACACGAGCAATGCTTCAGAGACACCTATGATCGAAGACTAGTAACCTAAAATCGAAGACAGAATACCAACTAGAAAATGAACATGGTTAAATGTTTATCAGTAGTTGATGAATACAAGTCATTTGGATTACTAACAATTAAATTCAAACTTAACTGTTAAACTTAATTTTTTGTTTATCCTGCCAATTTTTTCATTTATGTCATCACAGTGATTGTTTAAATTTTTCCCTAAGTTTTATTTTCAATTTCATGGATTCACAATTTATTTTATCTTATCTAATGTTCTCGGTGTTTAATTTTACAGTATGTTTATCCATTATGTCATATGTTACGAGAGAATATTTTTATAACGAATTTAAATTTATCTGAAAATCAATTCACATCTCAATCCATTGAACAACTCTGTCAAACACTTGCATCATCAACTGAACTTTTACAATTAAGCTTAAGAAAAAATTTATTTGATGATACTGCTGGAAAATATTTTTCGGAATTAATTGAAGTAATTGAAGTATTTAATATTTTAATGAATAAAATATAATTAATTATTAAGAATTTTTTTAATTAATAATATCATCCAAACAGTTATTCCAAAACAGTGTCTCATTACCTTGATCGTGTTTTCTACATTTTAATATAGCCAATGTTGCAGTCAATTTAGACAGTTTGACAATTTTGTTTAGAGAAATAATCATGTGGTAGTATACTTTATTGATTATCATATAATCAAATAAACTCAAAAAGTACCGCTAGAGCTACGTAGAAAATTTCCATATTCTAATCAATATCTTTTGATGCTTCAGATAGAACTATTCATGGTCAGGTCATTCAGAATATGTTTAAATGTGATCTGTGATCATTGGAAACTTATTACAATCATGTTTAAAGTTATAGGTGTTATAAAATCCAATTAACATCATTCGATGGTGGCTTAGTAATTTAAAGGCTGTGTTTGAGTGCCAGGCCTAAGGCCCTGAGTTCGGCATCCGTATGTGGGGTTGTGGATGTGTACCACCGGAAAGGATGAAAAAAATGTCATGTGCCTCCTGGTTTTAAACAGCTGTCTAACTAAGGTCAGCTCGTGATTTATATTAAGAAGATTCTTCAGTTGCCGTAATTCCCATAATATTAATATAGAAATTATTCAATACAAAGTATATTTACGTAATGTATTGTTATAGACAAACGGTGATTAACTCGTACAATGTGCTCACAAGTTACTAGCTTCGTGAGGAAATTCTTTAAGTCCTAGTGAGCAGATGTGACCATTAGAGTTCAACCCTGTTCACGTGTTGGCAGTAACTACCGCAGATAGTGTATGAGGTTTCGCTAGACCGTCAATTGATCGAAGTTAGACATTAACACTGTTAGATACTGCCTTAGTGGTTCCTGAGGTTAAGCGTTCGCGCGCAAGACCGAAGGTCCTGGGTTTGAATCCTGCAGGGTGCAGGAGTCGTGGATGCGCACTGCTGATGAGTCGCACACTGGGACGAAACGGCTGTCCAGTGCTTTAAGGCTTCCAACGATAACCTAACAATGATTGGTCGATGATTTCAACGTGTAAATACCCTGATCTCCATAACTCTAATTGAAAAAATCAACTATGTATTAACGACCAGTAATGAAATCATTCAAGCACACTTTTTACGCAATTGCATAATGTTCAAATATCTTTGTTTGTTTCGATCTATTCACGTATAGTAATTCAACAACTTAATTTTCGTCGTATTACTGGATACGACATAGTAGTGTGTGAAAATAATGAGTAAAATCAGAAAAATTTCTGGTTTCAGCTACATTGGAAATTAATTTTCTATAGATTACTGATTCTTTATGATAGAGGCTGGTTTTGCCATGCTCATCGCTTCACACACTTTATTTCTATTTCTATGAATAAAGTATTGATGTGTAAAAAAAGTCATGAATTGATTTGCTGTTTGTAACAGTAACTGTTCAAGTTCAATCTTAATTAACTACCCTTGATTAGTGTGAATTTCCATTGATTTATAATCTCAATCCAATCAATCTATAGGTGTCCCGTGAAGAAACAAATTTAATCAAGATGACCTTAAATTATGTTGTGCATTTAACTGCTAGCGCTTACTTTATGCTTTACTTTATGTTCTTTTATTAAAATTGATTTTAGACTACATTAAGCTTAAAACATCTAAATATTTCTTATAATGATTTGGGTGAATTATCTTGTCAATATATTGGGAAAGCATTACCACAAGCGAAAACGCTAACAGAACTTGATTTAAGTTGGAATAGATTTGGAAGAGGAAAAATGAACTTTATTGCCAAAGGTCTAGCTGTACGTTTAATTAATTTATTTTACTAATAAATTTTCACTTGTTATCATTTCAAGTCATCATAAGTATAGCTGGACAATATAATTTTATTTTAATGGTTATAAAAAAAACTGAGTTATTCTACAACGATCTTTTTGCCTTCAAATATTATAGTATTTTTTTCTCTGATTGTATGTAGTTGATTATTTGTTTCAAAAATTTGACTGCAAAAGTTCACGAAACTAGGTATATCCGATTTTCTGTAAGATCTTCGATATGAGGCATTGAGAACAGACATAGCAGTAACTGCATAGATGTTCCACTCTCCCTTCACTAAGATTTCGGAGGAATAAGAAATACCGACAAACTGGTTAGAAACACACCTAATCAATACACCAACGAAAAGTGATCTCCGTAAGTTCTAGAACTACTGAGGCATCACTCTACTCTTAATACCAGGAAAACTCTTCAACAGAATGTTGTTGAACAGAATGAAAAATTCAGTGGACGCCCAAATTCTAGGCTGGGTTTCATAAGGATTGATCATGTACCGACCAAATTGTGACACAACAGATCATTGCAGAACAGTCAGCTGAATGAAAGTTACCACTGTACATCAACTTCCTTGAGAGAAGTCAATTGACACTGTGTATTGGATCGCACCATCGAGTCGAGTTTGTGCACGGAGTGCAGCTCATAGACTCATTCCAAGTGAAGACCGGTGTCGGGGGAGTTTTCACACTCTCTTCCTTTATCTTTCTTCTGGTGGTTGACTGGATTATGAAGACGCCAACATGTGAGCGTAAGCACGAGATGAAGTGGACAGCTTGGATGCAGTTGGAAGATTTTGACTTCACCGATGATCTAACTCTCCAATCCCACACACAACAACAAACGCAGAAGAAGACTGTCAGCATAGAAGCATTAGTAGCCCCTGCAGTAGTAGGTCTCAACATTCACAATGGAAAAACACGATTCCCCGATAGAGTACAACATGAACAAATCAAATTACTCTTGACGGAGAAGCTTCGGAAGTTATGGAAACGCTTACATACATGGGAAATATCTCTGATTCAAATGTGACTAAAAGTACTGGCAAAGTAAGGACTGTATTTCTGCAATTGAAGAACACCTGCAACTGTCGATTAACATCAAAAGTCAGGAATTTTCATGTAAACATCGAAACGGTCCTATAACCCAAAATCAGTACTATTTGCATTTCTAACAGTTCACTGCGAATTTACAACCTATCATTTGTAAGATACGTTAGTAAAGCCGATAATACTTATACAATAATGTATCCAATATAGTTGATATTCCACTGTTCAAACTTTTGACCAATATTCAATAATATTTGAATTTTAACTCACCAATTGAGTGATTAATCGTAGCATGCAAATATATAAATCAAGATTTCGCGAAAGTCACTCTGGAAATTTACGCACTTTATTTCATGCATTGTCTATTTTGTTTACACTTTTCCAGGAAAATAAAATTTTACAATATCTCAATTTATCTGCCAATGGAATTGGTCCAAAGAATGGATGTACAGATTTAGCTTTAGCATTAAAATATAATACAAAACTTCAAACATTAGATTTAAGGTAAATCACTATACTGTGACTTTTTTTAATGGATTATTGTTGCAGTTAATATCATATCTATTATATATATATATGTGTGTGTGAATGTTAACCTGATGATGTGCTGATACAAGAAAAGTATCACAACATGTAGTGATAGATTTTTCTATTCAAGATTCTTCTATCTTGTTGATAATTACAGTATGATATTGATATTATGTTTGTGAATCATGATTAATGTTTAACATGTTGATACATGTGTATATCAAACCATCAGTACCATAGTGAACTGAATGAATTAATGAGATAAAAACACCAACAGTAATAGATGTTACAGTGTGAGAGAGGAAAAAAGTGGGTTTGTCACAGAGAATATAATTTGTATTAGGAAAGAATTAGTTTATGAAATAAATTATACATAGTAATTCTGAAAATTACGATCCAAGAAAAAGCAAAAAGTGAAAAAAAAATTAATTTGAACCATTTTAACTCATTTTGAACTTTATTAGTCAATATCAATTACGCCACTGAAGTTTTTTTTATTTAAATTCAGTACAGGGATATATGATATTTAAATTGATGAATCGATCAATGTTAGGCCACCATTAGAAGATTGAAAGCACTGTACTGCCGTTTCGTTATGGTATGGGACTCATCAGCAGTGTACGTCCTCGACTCCTACACTGTGCAGGATTCGAACTCAAGATCTGTACCACTGAGCCCGTATCTAATGATGTTAGTGTCTAACTTCGATCAATTAACGGTCTTGCGCAACCTCATACACTGTCTTAGGTAGTTACTGCCTACATGTGAACAGGGTTAAACTCCACTGGTCACGACTTCTCACTATAAATAGGAGTTTTTCTTTCTTCAAAATAATCACTATCAGTTAACCCTTTAGGTATTATTCACAATGGGACTGTACTTTATTAAATATAGAAATCAATATTTTAATTAAATACAGAAATCAATATTTTAAAGTACTTAATAATCTGCTGGCTTGTATTTATCACTAATTCCAGTCGGCTTGTAATTCATAGAAACTTGAAAATTACTCCAATTAAGTATACTGTTCACTAAATTAATTATCTCAGAGTGAAGAATCTGTTTTTATCAAATTCAATATTTCAGCTATATGCTCTCTTTGCTTTACTTTGTTGGATACTTTTTTGTTCTATGAATTCATTGTTTGTCATCACATTATACTGTTTATATTTACTGTTTACTATAATCATTGATACTACTACTACTACTACTATCATGATATGAGTAGGTTAAGACTGATTTGATTCCAAGTGAAAGTGTAGGTAGTAAAGTCAAATGCTCAGTTTAGTTTTTGTAATCACTAAACATTTAACTGAATTCAATGAAGTTGAAAACGTAAGTCACAAAACTGTGCTTCGCCGTTATTCGTACAAACTTATGAGTATAATGTATCATGACCAAATCGACTGTTTATGGAGCTGTAAACCAACATCACAGTAGCCTCAATGATTTTACAGCATCCTGATTTAGGATGAATTGCTTGCATAATGCTGTCAGCTAGCCATTTTTTCATATACTTTGTCTTCTCTTTCTGTGTTAGAAATATTCTACTTTTACTGAGTTAAGAAACAGATCATTAAAAGTATTTATCTTTTTTAGAGAACTGTGTTTTCTTCGCAGTCTTGAATAGATCTTATCTAGTGGTAAAACTAAATATCACTGAATATATTGATTATCATACAATTAGGATAAAGTTTTGCATTTTATTGCTTTGTTGATGCATTTATGCATAGATTTGGATAGATGTTTATGCTAAAATTGCGAACGTTAGATTGGTTAGCGAAAAGTCTTAAAGTTTTCAGAGAATTTCCAAAAAAACTCATTTGGTTAATTCAATTTTGATTAGAAGAAGTATTTACGATCGTTAACGGCGGTAAGACAAACTAAGTGAAATAATATCAGTTATTCACTCATTCAACTGAATGTGTTCTGAGGATCTAGATTAAGGGGGTCATTCATTATTTACTATGTGACATTCAGCAAACTTAACGAAGTATTCCGGAAGTAGATGTTTTTATCTGTCAATTATAGAAAAAATTCTGATTACACAAACAGATTACAAAAACTAACAAAGTTTTTCTTCTATACTCTTTTAAAGAATAACGAATAAGTTATCAGTTAAATTTTTGCCAATTACAATACTCAGTCTTCAGTACCATGTTTTCACTAATGACATAGATACATATCAATGAATTAATGGACAGAAAATTACTGTTTAACATAAACTTACTTTATACAGAAAATAATTAATCTTTTGGGACTGCCTTCCATCTTTTGTTTTTTTACAGTGACAATAGAATAAATCCAGAAGGTTGTGTATTGTTGAGTAAAGGCTTCTATGTGAACTCAACATTAACTTGCTTACGAGTGAGTTTGTACAAGTGAGCTTTGTATAATGATTATTTATTTTTAACTTCTAACAAAATCTATTTAAAAGGATATCGAAGTAATATTACTATCCTTAGCTCTTATATACTATAAATAATTTTCTAATGTATTCTAGTAGGTTGAAATAAGATTAACCAAGTTTAAAGGGTGAATCAATTTATCAAAATTCATTAACTGAGTAATTGTTGCTAGATACATACTGCCTAGTTGGATTCTGCACCGTAATCACGATCGGGTGGTTGAAGAGTTTGAATGATATGGCGTAGGTGTTTCAACTATTTATCTAGATATGATTCTTGAGCCTCAGTATCCCATTATTCATACCTTTTTACTCAGTTTTCTTTAAAACCATTATTCCCAATACATTAATCATGCTGATTACCAATGATACTACATTAGTTCTTGGTGTCTTTCAATTATTCACATTATTCACATCTCATCGTGCTAAAGTTACGAATGCCTAACCACCGACTGCCTCAACGAGCTATGTTTTGTGGTGTAGGTGTAGATTGGAAGAAAGTTAGGGGCGGCCAGACCAAAACATCGCACAAATCCATGAAGTCACTGACAAGTGGACTGAGTCAGGTTGGTAGATGTAGACTACCTGGTTGGGGTCCGCGAGACGATAGTCACCAATGGTTAGAGACCTTGAACGATATGGCTCAAAATCGTTTGCAATGGCGCAAGTGCATCCATTCGTTGAGCTCTCTCAAATCCTAATCTTCTGGATTCGTCAGCACCTCTACCTTTGTCTTTCTAACCTTATCTCACTGAATTATACTTCTTGAATAATATCTTCAAACCCTAGTCTTATTCATTACCATTAATACCTCTACTATCTTTATCACTATGGGATTTGATTTGACATCTGCGTCTCTGTGCTAATGTGGTATGGCAACATGAACTTACGGTACATACGTACGAAGTTCTACGTTGAGACTGACTGACTGACTGACTGACTGACCGTGCTAAAGTGCCAAAATAACTTTAGTCAATCTATTTCTGTGTTAGACCTTACACTGATGGTTTCTGACTGTTTATCCGAACAAGTAAACATAGCTTACTTCTTCCTAAAGTATGCATTCATAAGTTACTCCAGAAAAGGGTATTGAAAGATTCATGGTTACTGAATGCATCTCAGAGGTAAAACATAATATCTATGAATGACTAGTAAGTTCAAAAGGTTTATAATAACAGAATGTGGAAAAATATAAGGCTCATATTCTCTAATAGGAGAGTCCAGAATTTCTAAATGATTTAAGTCAATAAATTCAAATAAAGAAACCTTGATATATTAGGTCAGTGTGACAAAATAAATTCAATTTGTAAAGGTATCTTCTAGGAGTATTACTTTTTTAAGAAGAACGTTGTCATAAAATGTGGAACAACAGATTTCATTTTTAGCAAATAACAAATAATTTTCATGGTGTAACGACACAAATGTACACAAATATACAAAGCTTCAGAGTCAAAGTCTTCTTGAACTCATCGACCTATGCTTAACAAAGTATTTGCAATTCAACAACAGAGTCTGCGAACAAATAAAAGGAACACCAATGGGATCACCAATATCAGGACTCATCGCGGAAGCTGTAATGCAGAGACTGGAAGCGTCGATTTTGCCAGTGATCAAGCCAAAAATGTGGGTTCACTATGTAGACGACACATTCGTTATTATCAAAAGGAATGAGCTAGAAAACATCTACAATCGGATCAACAACGCCCTTGACGACATCAAATTCACGATGCAAAAGGAAACAAACAACAGCCTATCATTTCTGGATGAACTAATCACCAGAACTAACACAGGAAAACTAGAAACTCAAGTATTTCGGAAGCCAACCCATACAGACATAATCCTCAACTACGGTAGCAACAATCCAAGAACCCACAAAATCAACTGCATACAAACGTTGTTCAAGAGAGCGAAGACACACTGCAGCACACATGAGGCACTAAAAAACGAGGAAAAACATCTTATGACTATCTTCCAAAAAACGGCTACCCACGCAACTTCATCAAAAAACATCAACCAAAACCGTCAACAGAACCGAAATCAAGTACAGGAACCAATAAACGGATCATCCTACCATACATAAAAGACATATCAGAACACACAGCACGACTACTGAAACCATTTGGAATAGGTGTGGCACACAAACCAACAGAATCACTTCAATCAATCCTATGTAGACCAAAGGACAAAATGACAAAGGAAGAAAAGCCAAATACCATCTACAAAATAAATTGCTCAAACTGTGAAAAACACTACATAGGACAAAGTGGACGGCCTCTTCAGCTTCGTTTAAGTGAACACCAATTAGCAGTCAAACGCCACGACAACTCTTCACTTATATCAATACATACCGACAATTATGGACATACATTCGATTGGGACAATGTGGAAATACTGGATAGGGGGAGGACAAAGAACACTAGAGAATTTTTAGAAGCTTGGCACTCAGGTCAATCAGCAATCAATAAACACATCAACATTGACCCTATTTATCAACCAATCAGAAAAATCATAGGAGACATAGGATCAAGAAACAGATCAAAAAGGGGATACAATCAAAACAAATGTGCAAACAACGACAGATTTAAGGTCAACAACAACCAATCAAGATCGAGGTTAGCAGAACAAGCTACAGGTCAAATGTGGAGAAATTCGAATGCTTCACTTCTATCTGAAGTTTATGCTGATGATGTTGTTCAGAAGAACAATGAAAGCTCCACAACCTGAAGAACCAGCTCAGAGAACGAAACACCACCACAATCATTACTCTTCTCGGTAAACTCTTGACTATACGTTATTAATTTTTTTGGTATAGTATAACCACACTAACAAACGCTATCATCGATAAGCTTGTAAATTGTATGTATCACACAATGATTTTCTCAAATTTTCTAATAGAATAGATCACTGGGGTCGTTCGTTTTTTTTCATGTAGTTTTTTTATACTACTCTTCATTTAATTGTAATTGTAACCTGTAACCTTAATTATAAATAAAATATTTAGTTTAAAATGGAAATGCAGTAAATTTCACAACAGCTCATAATCGATGCCTAGTTTTTAACAATTTAATTTTCCGGCTGTATAAATTTTCAGTAAAGTAAAAATCATTTTCTTAAGTCCAATCAATCAATCAATAAAATGGTTGTAGAAAAATAGAGGTAACGCATAAATCAAAATCAAACTCATATGAAAAACCTTTAACTTATATTTTAATTCTTAAAGATAAAATGAAATAATTTTAAGGTTAATTATCTACTTTCAGTTCAAGGTTCTAAAATTCACATGTATTTGTTTTTTTAATGGACTACATAGTTTATATTAAGTTATATTCAAGAGATTTCCAAATTCTTTAAACGTAATCATTCTTTTTAAGCGTATTTAATTTTTCTGTTTGAATCTGACAGAGGAATAAGAGGAATAATAAAAAGACATTTAAGAAAGTTATAGATAAGTTTGTTGTAATCAGTATTACACTTCATCACGAATTGATAACAAGTAGCTAAAACCCTGAACAAATTTTTCATTCTAGAATGTGTACTCACAATGCTATATGAGGTAGAAATTTGAAACTTCATATTTAGCGGCTAGTCTAATTCTTATTGAAAAAAATTAACTGGAATTAGATTAAAATGCTTGAAATGGTTGGAAGTGATCAACAGTAAAACCTAATGAGTATAAGTATTGCTTATTAAGCGCCTAAAGTAACTGATTGTGTCATTGAATAAAAAAATAAAGAGACTTCAAAACAGAGAATTTCTCTCGAATGAAATCACTTACTTAAGCTGTACATTCGTATTTTATAATCGTTTGATAAATATATAGTTCTGTTGAAAGATAGGATAGATTATATGATAAAATGATTCGAGATTTCAAACATCGATGCACATCTATAAATCTTCTTACTCCTATGGTATGCGTTATATGGGCTACATAAAACAATCAATCTCCAAAAGCATCTTCGACATTTACGTGGCGTGACTTTTAAAAAGAGAGTGCGAAGATATTACTAGCCCAACACAAGCTCATCTAATCAACACGTTGTTCCTAAGGTGTTGTGCTTTAAAATAATATAAGAAATTAAGAGCATTGGATTAAATATAGTTCGGATCAAAAACTTATGTGCTGCTGAGGCGTTTGTAATCCACTTATTCAAACCCGAAGTCTGAGTGCAGAAACTATAAGTTCAACGTCTCATTCTTCTCTGGATCTAATTCCTTTTTCCAGTATGTTTTTGATGTTAGTTTATTCTGATTCTGATTTCTAGTTTTAAATCGTATTTTGTTATCTTTGATCGATTGTCTTGACTCTTATTCGATTGTTATTATGACTGTTATGTTTTTCATTATCATCCATCATATCTGTCAAATGGAAAATTATTCCTCAGACAAATATGACCTTATAATTATTCTCAGCCCTTTTTCCTCCTAATCCCTGGATTATTACGTAACTTACGTTTGATGTTTGGAATCTCGTAGCACTTTGTGACGCATTCTCTCCTACCTTTCTACCTATTTATCAAACAATTATAAATACGAATATACAGCTAAATGATAAATAATTTTGTCGAAAAAACTTTCTTCACTGAATTTTCTTTATTTTTATTCAAATTAAAGACTTTTTAGAATCAAGGAAAAAGATCTGAAACACATGACAATAACAATAGCTGACACTTTAAATTTTACGGTACTTGGAATTCTTGTTGTAGCCTAGATGTAAATTACAGCTGATTGTGCTTTTGGCTATCGATTTTCATAAATCTCTTGTTGCGCCTTTGATTCACTCATTATGCGTCATGTATTTGAGAAGAAATGTTGTTGTTTACATTGATCGTCTCAAAATAAAAGTCGATGAACGATCGAAATTATTGATGTGCATTTAAGCGTTATATTAACGCAGTCATACAGTCGGTAGCTTAATACTGGTGACTATTTTCATGATCAGTTTTATTGAATATTTGATTCATGAAAAAAGCATCAATTGAACACTTTGTTTAAGTAGTACATTAATTATCACATTAATAAACGTCACAACTATGTTTGTAATGGTAATATGCCATTCGTTCATTTTAATTTCTTATGTTATATCAAATTTAAGTAAATCACTACTTTTTTTTCTGGACTTGACACCAACTACTGATTAGAAAATTAATTTTTTTACTAATATGTATATAAACATTATTGAAAAGTGGGTATAGGATGAGATTAATTCACATTATCAAACATTGAAATAAGCAAATGAAAGTGAAGAAAACAGTATTTGTTAGTAGTACTTGAAGTGATAGTAAACTAGCCAACCCTAAGAGTAGGCGAAATAAAATCTAAGAAAAATGAACTTTAAGCGAAAAATAAGATTATCACGACTTACAATGGTAACCAGTGAAGAAATACGAAAACTGATAATTCAGTAACTTTCATTATACCTATAGTTCTGTCTTGTGATGTTTTCTTTTTAAATGTATCATACGTACAACAAGTGAATTGTTACTGCATTAGGTCATGTACTACTTTGTTCAGTCAATTCTAATAAACGATTAGTTATCATGCGGGTTTACCTATTAGGTTGATGTAATTAATACAAAGAGCCATTATACAGTTGATTAGTCTTAGCCAAAATATTTAGGCCATTATATAGCTATGATTATAAGATCCTAGTCAATATATTGACGTTCCATTATAAAACAGAAACTCATTGGATGACATTGACTGGTTGCAGCAATACAACTATTTTTAAATCTAACAACTATCTAGTATTGACTCAATTTAGCTATTGATTTCTTGAGAGAGAAATTATATTTGTAAAATATCAGGGATTAAAATCAAGACCAACATTCATTTGGCATTCGGGTCTGATTTTTGATTATTTCTCTGAAGAAGCTCGGATTAGATTTCCCAGTGATTGAATAGGGTTATTTTGGATTTTGATACCTGAAAATTATACAAATAAAACTTCTTTTTAATGTCTTCTGTTAAATGTGATATCTAAATATTGTGAAGCTGTTTATTCTACTTAAAAGACTGAAAATAATCTAATCTTTTTAGATGACAGGAAATCCAATGCAAACTGCTGGTTGTTATGCTATTTTAGCAGGTATTCTAAAAAATCCAAAATGTGGATTATTGGAACTTGATGTACAGGTAATTTAACTTCACATTTTATATGAATCCATCATGTCATTGCATTTTTTCGAATCTTTTTTTTCCTTTTCAAAAGAAAACAACATCGTTCAAGTAAAATATATTATTTCTCTGTGTTACGAATGCATGTCAACACGTCGATTGATACGCTTGAACTATTACGAGTTTACCTTAGTCGGAAAACGAGAACGAAGATCCGTTGACACAACAGGCTACTATAATCCGATTGTCTCAACCCCCCATTGATTAAAAGAAGAAGACTTGCTATGAAGTAGAACCTGTATTCTTCAAACAGCCAGAAAGTACGAGGTCCGAGTCCAGAAGAGAATCAGGATCCTGGACTAGGAATCCGGGTCATAAAACGTTACAGATAATGCGTATTTATACATTTAGGTCGAATAATAAACAACATTGAAGTTTTTGACATTGATAGTTAGGACGATCAATAGGAACTGACCAACAGAATTAGACTTACAAACAATTATCTTAGGATATTGGATGAATATCCTAACACTCTACTTGTACAGACTTCTTAAATGGAGTCTGTGTGACGACAATGAGTACGTTAGTCCAAAATTAGTTTTAATGGTGCAGATATGCTTATTGTTCGAGAAACTTAGTTTGAAAAATATTATTATAGTTGGTATTCTTATTTCATCCGGTGGGTTTTCTACAACTGTTAATTCAACATTCTGCAACCTTATCCATGGGATACTTTTGCCGAATACTACTTTGAACAAATGTTCAAGGCTATCGATGATAGATAGTGAAAAACAATCGACACAATGTTAAGTAACTCTGCTCAATTTAAATGACATAAAGTGATGTCAGCGATTCAGTACAGATTATCAAAACTAAATCACCTCATCTCAGAAAAAATAATCAGATAAAAATAATGAAATAACTTATCACTTGACTCGATTTGCTAAAATATCGATTTTTAATTTGTACTAAATGTTCTGATTTGAATAATAATTTGTGTTTTGATAAATGCCTGATGCTTTATTTAGCTACATACGTGACGAGTGGAACCGATATAATCATGCCTAATTTTACGTAATAATTGGCAGTTTTTAAAGAGATCACAGATATAAAGTGTGGAAAAGTTTAGTAGGATGAGAATAGTTCTGTTTTTGTCGTTTTTCAATGTTGCAGACTTTAGTAATTGTGGAACTGAAGCTCTTTAAATTACTTTCTAGTTTAATTTTTAGTAGAGGGAATAAATCATACCGAAGGATTTCAAAAATTAGGAGGATACAATTTAGATCAATAACTTCAAGGTCATTAGGTTTACTATCGGTCTTTTGCATGTAAACGACTTGTACTTGTCCAAAATGAAGTATTTTATTATCGCAAAACGTATTTGTGAAATATTTACCGAAACGATATGGAGCGCATCAAAATGATTTAAAATCCCAATCTTATGAAGCCTAAATCTCCAAATAGTTAGATGCTTCGAATAAGTCTTAATCATACCTGATTCGCCTTCAATGTCTTCTATCCCAGGATAGTATGTTATTATTACGATCGACGTATTCAGTCCAACGGTAGGTTATAGGACAGATAGGACAATACAATTTATTCATGACTGAATATCTCTATTTGATACACTAGGCCACAACACCAGATGCGAGATAATTTATTATATCAGGATACCAGATCAAGTTATGAGCGGACACAATTGTGACCATCTACTGAGAACGTGATAATTTGAGCCAAAATAACTGTTTGTTAACAGTGTAAAATCCTGAATATCGAGTGGTAAAGCCGATCTTTTTTACACAACAATAGTCATTATATTTCGTACTAGTCAATTCTCATTAGGCTGCCAAACATATGTTACTTTCACCGTCAAGACACCACTAAACAAGAGAATACTTATAATTTCTAGCTGTTTTACTGTCCGCTGAAGGCTGATAGGTAAGACTGGTCGATTAGAGTGAGCTGATATCAATCAACTACGCTTCATCATTTGTCAGTAATTAGTCTATTCATTTCATAAATAAATCAGAAATTGCCTCGTCATCATCAACATAATTGAAAATTCTTTAAAAGCATCATTTCAAATCACACAGGTTGTATAAAATAAGTTAGTTAGTTCATCAAATAGAAATAAATGTATGACCGCATATCATTTTTCCCCTTTATTTTACCTAGAAAAAAGTTTTTGATAAGTTGATCAGAAATACAAATTGTTGCAATACTAATCATGGCTAACTACTTAACTCTTTTTGATTATTAACAATATAAGTAGTATATTATAATTATTGAATTAATTTATATCAAAATATATTTTTTTTTTATTTTATCTTCATTTCAATAGGATATTATAGTAAATCAAGATTTCCTTGATTTACAAGATTCAGCACGAATTAAACTACCAAATTTATGCGTAAGATGTGGTCATAAAACAACTGATAAAATTCGTCTCCTGTCACCAAGTTTCAAACGATCTGAGAATAATAGTCCTAAAGAAATTTTAATTACAATGGGACGTTTAACAAAACAAAGTTTAGCTGATTTATTGCATCCATTAGATAAGATTGGTAATAAAACTATTGCAAGACAAGTGTTTGTAAAAATTTTAAATGTAAGTGTATTTATTCCTTTATTACTTTAATACATACAATTATTATTATTTGATAGAATATAGTTTTTTATAAAAAACCAGTGACTAATATTCTATTTCTGCATTATGTCAAACTATATCTTTGAAATATAAAAAGACTCATCACTTATTAACAAACGTGAAGAACATCGGGCGGTTAAAGACAATAATTTGAGTATAAAACCTATCAGGAAAGTTTCTGATTACTTTTATATTTTGTGGTTAGCATGACATATTTAGACTACTGACACGAGAACCGATAGTTCACATATCCATCTTGGGTCAAATGTGTAATTTAGTCACGAAAGATTTGATCCAGGAATTTCAACCATGCTTGAATCAGGGTAGATGAAGAAGCACAATAACACAAACCGTGTTGCGCATTTGATTGTAGTTGTAAACTGTTACAACAAGACTCTGAACTCAACGGTCTCAATGTGATTGTATTGATATGTACTGGATTCGATCTCCTTGTAGTTAGATAAAAAATTTAGTATCAGCAGATGTCTTTGTCAAGTTAATCGCTTTGTTTACTATTTGGTTTATGAAATCGAAATTCTGAATTCATTCATCTAATTATTATAAAAATCATTCAATATAAAGAATTTAATTTTATTGTTTTAACTGAATTTCTATCAAAAATTAATGTATTTGAACTTTTAGAGTGGTATTATTATTATTATTATTATTAATCATATTTCAAGAATTATACAGTACAATACATTAACTCGTGATCAGTAAAATATGCACATAGATAATTCAGACTTTAAATATTCATTAGAACGTTAATTAAATGTTGAGAGATTATTTCATTTCCTCAAAATCTTGCGTAGCTTTGACTATTGATAATGTAACAACCATTCAGCTGTGCATTTAAATATTAGTAGATAAATAATTAATACAAATGAATTGATGAACGATAGTTTGCATTAACTATGAGATAAATAGAACAATAAAACTGAAGATAATAAGAAAGTAGAATTCATAGTAAACAATTGGCCGACATTGAGAGTATAAGTTTTATTAGTTAAACATTAAAATAATTGACAATAAATAGTTAGTTGTACTTCTTGTGTAAAGAAAATTATCGAATATACATTAATTCAAAAACAAGGTCATATTAAATAATAGTTTCATCACGTGTAAACATTGACTTATTTTATACTAAGTGAAAATTTATATTATTCAGTGTAACTTCTCCAATCTGTGATTGCTATTTCTGAATGACATCAAGATTTCGTAAAATTTTGTTGAGAAATAGTGACTACTGACGTCCATCTATGTCAAAACTGAAGTTGTTTGCTATCAGTAGTCTTGAATAATTCCATAGTGTATTAATCGATGACTGAAGTCGAGAATGTAGACTGTTTAAAGTCAACTTGGTGTCTCAATCAATCAATAACAACGTAGAACTTCGTACGTACGTACGTACGTATGTCAGTTCATGTTGCCATACCATATTAGCACAAAGATGTAATTGTCAATGCAAATCCAACAGTAGGAGAGGTAGTAAAGTTATTAGCAGTAGTCGGAGAGGTTACGTTTAGAAGATATTATTCAAGACGTAGAATCTAGTGAAATAGACTTAAAAAGATAAAGATAAGGTGACGAAGAATTAAAAAAGTTTAGGATTTGAGAGAGGACAAAGAATGAATGCACCTGCACCATTGCAAACGGTTTTGAGCCATGTCAATCAGGGTGTTTATGAATGCTGATATAGTAGTTATAAGAATCCATACTATTAAGGACAAAGTAACTGAACCTTCCTTAGTTTTAAGCTTTTTTCAAGGTGTAACATCAAAAAATGATGTGAAATAATTTGAAACGTTATCCTTACTATTTCTCTATGTACTTATGCTGTATTTTAAAATTTTTTATTCACATTTGTATAAAAGTTCAACAACTATCTGACCAACTACTATGTGGTAAACACAATACAATAATCGATCTAAACTAGTTAAAATATACGATTGAAAATAATATTCACTGAATAAATATAATGTATTCTTGTCAAACACATGAATAAATCTTATCATACTATCTCTAAGTAAAAATAATGGTCCTTAACCATGTTAAATTAGTTAGTTATTGTGCAACACAACAGATATATCTGAAGAATATTTGTATATATATTTTGAAATTTAAATTGATCAAATTCTAAAAGTTCATCGAGTTAATTCATTTCACTAGTTCAGTAACATAATTCTATTCTATTGACCACATATAAATGAACAAATACTATTATTCTGTAAATGATAATCATCTAATTGAAATCTTTCTTATTGTATAAAACAGTTACTCTTCTTTCTTATTTTTTTGTTTAAAATGTGATCAATTTCAATTATTCATAAAATTAATTATTATTTCATATTGTTTTACTGTTTCAATAGATTTATATGATGGTAAGTCATGACAACTATTTTTTTTTTCAATTCTCATAATCCAACCAAATAATATAACTTTGAAAAAAACATCATAGAGAATGTTTAAGGGCTCACATTTCAGAGATAACTTATTCATGAGATAACTTTTCAAATGGTTATCGTATAAACATCTAATCCAAAAAAAAACAACTGTCACTTTTCTATGTTGGCAAAATAGTAACAATAAACGAATATGGTTTTTTCCAGCTTTCCAATTTGACCTTTTATTGATTACTGTAAAACAACTTAGTTAAATGAAACTATCTATGAATACACTTGAAGTGTTTAGGAAAGTTTATACGTGAAAAGTTTGATGTATCATTAAAAATAGGTGACTATTGTACTATTTTATACAATGATGTACTATAAGTTTTTTTTTTTTGAAAAATAATCCATTACATCACTAAAACTGACAAGCCAATCATTTGTCTAGCGTTACAAACAATTGCTTAAAAATAAAGTTGAGAATAGAATTTCATTTCTATTGTAAATTGATAGAAATATAAAAATAAGCCTTTCTTATTACTACAGAATTCAACTATAATACATTTCGATTCATTATTCACAACATGATGAGTGAACATAAAAAATCAACATAATTTTGACAACTTTTTATTCATTTAGGTCATGTAGTACATAATTGGTGTTAAAACAAACAATCAATAAAAATTTACAATTTGCCAAATTTAATAATTAGCATATTTCATTCACTTGACCATTTTAAGTCATCATTGTTATGATTTGGTCCAACTTAGATGATAATGATAATTATTCTTACAAGATTTATATTTTTCCACTATTGATAATTAAAGATTGGATTTGAACATTGAATCTTCTAATGAAATAAATATTACTAATGACATGTTGGCCACTAAATTGATTACATCTCTATTAATACTACATCTGTTTAAAAACTAACTTTTCTGTCAGTACAATGTTGGAGTTTAATTGCATTTATTATATCCTTTAGTAAATTACAGGCTTCACCTACGTATATCACACAACGTAAGTAGCAATGTGAATATTAGTTACTTACACCTGGAAAATGCTAACTAGTATTTACTTATGAGTTAGATCATCACCTAAACAGAAGAAAAGCTGAAGCATATCTCAGAGTGATCAAAATGAAATATGATATCGGCGGACTTTGCTATCATTCATGTAGAATGGTACAGACCCAGCTAGATGATTTTAGTTATGTTGCTCAAAATCACCTACAATGATACAGTCAATTACTTTTTTTGAAATGAAACTGAATTCGTTTCTTTCAATATTTTTTATACTTTTCTCAATTATGTACTACCGTTTTTAATGATTACGGTTAATTTGTTTTTGCTGATATCGAGTTTCACTGTAAGAGTGTAAACTTTGAACAACAAGCATGCACGATAATATTAATGTGGTTTATTTCCACAAATCGTAGTACAAACCAAATTCAATTGTTAAAGGTTTTATGAAGTGGAAGACGGTTAATCATACTTAAAATGAATCTTATTGATAACAAAATGTGATGTTCATAAATTAAAAGAACCGATCAGCTACAGGATCATATATTTGAACATTTATTCCAAGTTATCTATCAGCTATATTAGTAAACACTTTTCTGTTCACTTTTCTTCAACTACGGATTAAACGAAAAATGTTAATTACATATCTGCGACGACGCTGATAACAGGATAAACACTAAGTACTTTGATAACACTCAGTGTTACTCTTACATGTGAGAGGAAGAAGATATTAGATCAATGCGGTTTACTCTTTCTGATATGCTAAAATATCTGGTAGCGTTACAAAATAAAGCATTAAAAACACCTGACTAGTTGATTAAAGGTTATATTGAACAGATAATTTGTATACATTTAAAATCCCACTTTTAACCAAAAAAAATAAAATCAAAACATATATACATACATGTTATAGAAACTTGGAATACAATTTACTGAAGAACAAATGAAATTATTAATGCAAGAATTAGATCCAAAAAATCGAGAAGAGATTAACTATACGTAAGTGAAAAATCAAATTAACATTTAATTTATACAAAATCAAATAAATAATTAGTGTTTTTTTTTTAATGTAAAAAGACTGCAAAACAGAAGAAATGCTGCCTAATTTGAAGGAGTAAACAGATGGCAATGTAAAAAATGAACGATTATCTAATTTATATTTCTAATAAAAATCACTTACTTGCGGCTTGTATTTTTAACATTGTAATGAACAAGATACCTTTGTTTCCACCTAGTCAGGAATAGAGCACATACTAGACCACTTGGGGAATCAAACATAGCGACCTTAGGTTCCATTGCATATGGTTAATGAATAGACCGCTAACTTGACTTCGGATGGTGTATATTTTCAATTCCAATCAATTTTCGATAGAGCACAAAGCCCACCGAATCTCACTAATAACAATTGTTTCATTTCTTGCATAGAAGAACCCTACCAGTTATTGTTTCCTAATAAAGCTTCATGAACTCTTCTAGAAGTCATTAGTAAGCGCATAAATACATGTACTTCCCAAGCATTTTTGGGGAATGAGTTTGATTTTCACATGATCTATTAGTTAACTCTATTAGCCTATCAACTAAATCCTCATATTTTTCATTTATAATCCTTTTACAATCAATTGTATTAGTGAAAGATATGCTACATTATTTCAGAAAGAAATAACGAAAAACTATGAGAATGTGGAATATTAAAATAATTGGTACGCTTAGGCAAAAGTGCTTCTTGCATAGATTTCTTCTAATATGCTGTTGCACTTTAAAGCAAAAACCTTAAATTGTGAACGTACTACACACCATTATTATTACCGGCTTTCTGAATATTATTATAACCAGAGTAAAATGCATGGAGCCGCACTGTCGAATGCATGAAATCGATCCACGAATTGCTGACTTAGCTGAAAACTCTGACAACATTTCAATCTTGAATACTCTAAGTCAGCGGTTGAACAATTAAGGAAAGTTTAATCGAAAACAGTCCTAGTACTCAGCGGCTTACTCTAGTGTATCTGTTAGTTTAATAACGCTTTATTCTACCTTTTTCTACTTATTATTTGCCATTTTCGATTATGTTTATGCAAGTTAACCAGGACGAATATGGCAACGTTTGTGAATGATAAGATTGTGTACTTTACAAACAACTTATCTCATACCTAAAGCCAAAATCCCAATTAGTTGACCAACACTAAAATTACTACGGTTTTTAGCGTAGAAGGATTTCTAAAATGAATTGTGAGAATAAATTTAACGGAATGATGCATAGACAGATGATCTATTATGACTTGTTGAAATTATTTACTAAATTGCTTATTTTATTTCACTTTTAACTATTATCATCAATTCCTTAGAGATTTTGAATTGTAAAGATGGATATCACTGAAAAAATTTCAGTTTCATTCAAGGGAGCTGAAAAGAACTTCGAAAAATTATGCTACCGACAAACAAGAAATCCTGAAAATATTTTTATTTATTCTCGTCTTATGTTCTTTTGAATTTTCTAAACTGAAAATATATATAAATGTTAATATAATAAAGAAAAGCCTTATTGACTAAGTGATGTACTTTATAATAATATCAAACAAAAGTCGAGGTAAAATTGCTAGAGATTTGAATAAGTATTAATAAAAGTAGTGGAATATAATTTTACAAATTACAAGTAGACTGAGATGTATCAGTAGAGTAACAACATTTTATATAGTAAGCTAGTAAGGTAGCTTGTGTAACCAGTACGATAGATAGGAGTTAGTTAGTAAGTTAAGCAACTAAGTGTTTACTGAATATTCTTAACCATCTTCACAGTAGTTACGATATTATGCGTATCAGGATAAGAAGCACGCTCCAAATTAATGGCATATGGCATAGGGACGTCTGCGCCAGTCACTCGTAAAACTGGAGCATCTAAGTAGTGGAAGGTATCCGCTGAAGAAAAAAAACCATAAAATTTAAAGATAAAATGTTTAGTTTGTAGTATTTTAATATATACATAAATTTTCATTATAATTTCAACAATATACATATATCAGTCAGTCAATCAATCAGTCGGCAACAACGTAGAACTTGGTACGCACGTACACCAGTTCACGTTGTCATACCATATTAGCACAGAAAGATGGAATTTTCAGTTAAAATCACAAAGTAATATAGGTTGTAGAGGCATTAGAGTTAATGGAAAAGATTGGCGATGGAAGATATGATTCAAGAAAATATAAACTAGTGAAATGAATTACAAAATGGAAAAAAAAGTAAGGTTGTAAAGAATTCAAATTGGAATTTAAGACAAGACAAAGAACGGATGTATTTGCGCCACTACAAACGATTTTGAGTCATGTCATTCAAAGTCTCTAACCACTGTTACGATTGTCTCGCGGACTCCAACCAAATAGTTTACACCCATTACCATGGCTCAGTCTACTAGTTAGTGACTTCATGCACTGGTACCATGTTTTGGATTGGCCGCCCCTAGCTTTCTCCCAGCCGACCCCTACATTAGACGACATAGCTCGTCGAGGTAATCGGTGGTAAGGCATACATAACACACGTTCAAACCACTTCAACTGACGTAGATTCACTATTTCAGCAATTGATTTGCCAGCCTCACCTAGCACCCGTTTCCTAACAACAGCATTGCTTACTCGGTGGTCCCAGAATATACCTGCAATGCTTCGGAGACACCTATGATCGAAAACCAGTAACCTACGAATATCTTCCACTCTGACCGGCCATGTTTCGCATCCATACAGTAGGACGGAGCGAACAGCTGCGCAGTACACTCGTCCTTTGGTTAGCAAACGGATATCTCTCCTATGCCATAAGTGATGCAGGTTAGTAAAAGCCAGTTGAGCTTTCTGTATCCGCGCCGAGATTTCGTCACACACCAGACCATCAGAACTGATGAGACTACCGAGATAACTAAAGCGGTCAACATGCTCAACTACTTCACTCCCTATCACTAGTTCAGGTGCTAACGCAAGCCAATCCTGAAGCAACATTTTGCATTTCGAGGGGGAGAATCGCATCCCGAACATGCTTGCATTGTTGCTTAGAGTGGTCAAAAAATTCTGCATTTTGTCAGCGTCTTCACCGAATAGAACTATGTCATCGGCATATTCTAAGTCAACAAGAGGATCTCCCGGCAAAAGTTCGACTCCTGGAAAGTCAGACGATGAAATTGTCATCTCTAAAAGCATGTCAATGACAAAATTAAACAAGAATGGAGAAAGTGGACAACCCTGACGGATACCATTTGAAATAATAAATTCCGATGACAGTTCGCCATAAGCTCTCACTCGACCTGTAGTGTTCGAGTAGAGAGCTTGTATAAGGTTAATGTACTTATTTGGCACACCTTTTAATGACAGACACTGCCACAGAACCTCACGGTCAACAGAGTAGAACGCCCCCTTAAAGTCAAGGAATACAACTATTGTCGGACGCCTAAATGTATGTCTATGTTCTAGGATCTGACGAAGTGTGAATATCTGGTCTATACAACCACGTCCAGATCGAAAACCACCCTGGTTTTCTCTAGTCTGCTCTTCACGAGCTCTAGTTAGGCGTCTAAGGATTATCGAGGCTAACAATTTAGAAACTACATTAGTTAAACTGATTCCCCTGTGACTGTCACAAGAGGACTTCTCTCCTTTCTTGTAGACTTGGTACAATCAGTGATTGAGACCAGTCGGATGGGATTACACCCAGCTCCCAGATTCTACCCAACAACTCAGTCAATCTAACTGCTAAAACTGGACCACCATCCTTAAAAACCTCAGGGGTCAATCCATCAGGACCCGCTGCTCTCCCTCGCTTTAAATTTCCAATAGCCTTTTCAACCTCATTAAGAGTTGGAGGACTTACATCGATTTGCCATTCAGGCTGACTGGGAATCGTGGGTAGCCGAAGGGTAACTGAAGGCCAGTTGAACTGCTCCCTAAAGTGTTCTGCCCAACGATCCAATCTTCTGGACTGAGAATTAATAACAGTCCCATCTTTTCCCGAGATAGTCTCACTAACAGTCGGATTACTAATACCGGTCTCCTTGATAAGTCTAAAAAGCTGTCTACAGTTACCTATCGTCGCCGCTTTTTCCATCTCAGTTGCCTTTGCTACCCACCACTGTTCGCGATCATTGAGTAGGCTTTTTATCAGCATGTGCTTGAGCTGCCTCCGTTCATCATCATGTTCACAGCCAGGCGGAATGAGTTTCCGAGCATCTATCAGTTTAGCAGACGCCGCCGAAATCCACTGATTTTTCCTCACCTTTTGGTTTAACTTACTGCTAGATATCACTGCTGTTTTCACAGCATTTTGGATGTGATTCCAAGCTGTCTCAGGGTGGGTAACACCTACACGGCTGCCTAACTGTTTCTCTAATCGCTCTTGAAATATATCCATGGACTTGTTATCATTGGGTAGAACTCTAAGAGGTTTATTTGGTCTGTTTTTCTTACGTCTAGTAAGCTGCAAACAAATACGTGCCCGTACTAAAGCATGATCCGAGTCTAAACATGTTCTCCAGAATGAGCGGCAGTCCTCTATTGAGCCTCTCCAACGATGGCTGATAGCAATGTGATCTATTTGGGCCCAACGGTGAGTCGATTTTGGCGGCCTCCATGTCAAAAGATGTCTCTTCCTGTGTTTAAAGTTGGTGTTTGCCAGAAATAGGCCGTTATCTGAGCATAGCTGCAGAAGACGGTCACCATTATCTGTTCGATCAGCCGCGACACCATAACATCCACCCAAGTGTCTTTCCTTTTCGCTTAGTTTACCTACTTTAGCATTAAAATCACCAGCCACTATTACAACATCATAGCGCCCAGCTTTTCGAAGAAGATTAGAAAGCTTTTTGTAAAACTCATCTTTCACCTCATCTGAACTGTAGTCAGTGGGAGCGTAGGCAGATACGACGAAGAGGCAACGGCGAGTTTCCCTATCTTTCCGAGTCCTTATTTTCGCGTTTAGTCGAACAGCGCACAAGCGACTATCTACTGTGATCCAGTTTAGGAGAGCTAGTTCTGCCCTAGGACTTAATACTATACCTACACCAGCGAGGCCGCGAGAAGCAGTAGCAGGGCTTCCAGATACACGAAGAGTAAACCGAGTTGGTTTTCTATCTGGACAAGGTGAAATCAAATTAATGATTTCACTAGGATCCTGCATGCGCGTTTCCGAGACGCAGCATATATCGATGGCAAGGGATTCCAGAGTCCTAGCTAAGGAAGCCTGTTGCCCTATTTGACACAATGTCCGTACATTAAAAGCTCCAACGTGTAATTTACAACGGGGTTTCAGGAGACCAGGAATAACGTTTCGTGAACTCGAATCGTTTGCATCAGCTGTGCAGGGTGATAAAGGAATGTGAAAAGGGTTAGTCGTGGAGATAGGAGAGTTATTAAGAGGTAGGGGAGGGATTTGAATGTGAACAAGTTGATCTCGTATGCTTTTAGAGGTATGAGGGCGAATTTCACTTCCCGGTTGCCCACACCGTGGAAGGGTAATTCTTGAGGAACCTGAAAAGGATACACATATAATAGTGAAAGAATATTAGAGGATTATACATTAAATTGTAATTACTGTTGTTTGGATACAACTTCCAACATTGTTTCACTATGTTACAGAGTGAACTTGAAAGCTAATAAATTGGATTGTACAACCATAAATTGGTAGGATGTTTTTACACAAATTACGGTATGGGATTAATTTTTTGATAGGTGGTGTCCATCTCTCAGGATTATACAAAAGTATTAAACTATTTTAAAAACATTATTATAAGTTGTCTGATTAGGGATTTCATTTTCGTAGACCTCATGAATGCTTTCCTATTTCCAGCTTTATTGAATAGGTCTTCAAGTATGAAAAAATCAAATCCAACTACGAACTTCATAGTTATTAGGTAAATAGTTTCTTTAAGCCGTTACGACTCAATCAGATAAGTTGAAATTAAGCATTGTTCACTCAGAATTTAAATATTAATAAAGAAAATTGGGATATATATAATAAATGACTGCAATGTTGGAAATCAGCAGTTAATAAATTTTATCACTAAGAAAAAATTTTATATACCTGAAGCTTTATCGCTTCGTTCAATAAAAAAATCAAGACAATAAAAAATGCAAACAGGAGATAGTAGACTTACAAGCCTAATTAGTATAACTCATTCTCATCAGGTATGTACTATGAATTACAATTTGGTTATGTAACAGATTAACGAAACGGAGCATTGTTTGGACATGTAGCTTAATGGTTAAAGTCTCATTTGTTTTCCTAGTCGCAAAGTCATTGATCTTGCAAAAGTGTCAATTATTCAAATATCAAGTAGAAATAAATATTTTGGTAATTTTACAGTAGGCTGATGATTTTCTCAGACATATTTTTAATTTTGATTACAGTGTTTATGGAATACTTTATTTGATATAAAAACTAAAACAATGCAGTAAAGATTAGTAATTCGGAATTTCCAGACAAGATACGAATAAAAGCATGCAATTAAAATGAGTATTAAACTTACTCTCCATGACACGAGCACATATTTCAGCACCAATACCACAAACAGGCCAACCATTTTCTACAGTAACTAAATGATGTGTTTTTTTAACGGAATTAAATATTTTTTGTTCATCCATTGGCCTCAACGAGCGTAAATTGATTACCTAAAGTGAGGGGAATAATAGGATATATCTATATGTCAAAGTTTGTCTTCAAATGATACAATAAGAATACACAAGATTCATCACGTTTATTGCACATCACATCATCAAGGGACGACGGAGTGAGCATGAACCACGTTCTATATATTACTGGTTCATAAGCTAAACACACTATGCAGTAAAAAAAATGATTTATTCTAACTGCTTAGAATTGAAAAGGCGTCCAAACTCATCGTCCATCGGTTTAAGGTTACAGAAATAAGACTATGGAGTCACAACTCAACTTATAATTTGTTTGGATATGATATTAAGTAGCCCTTTAAGAAGATAGAAACTGATGGCCAGGAGACTAATTGATATGGCTTAAAATCAACCGTAATATTCCCATAAATTTTGGACACCTTAATAATTACCATTGATCGTTCGTAAAATGTAACGACTTCTATTAAAAAATTATAAGACGCTTAGTTCATATAGAAAACACCAGAAAAAGGGAATTATTAAACTAAGGCATTTTAAGATAAACTTATTAAAAATTATTCTACACAAAGATTGCATACCTCAGCACTGATACCTAGTTTTGATAATTCTTCAGCAGCAGCAAGGCATGTACCCACACCTAAACTGTAACTAACGAGAGTAACGTCTTTCCCTATAATTAAAATATATAAAAAAAATAACATGTACTTAAAATGTTGAATACATGATTTATATTATCCGCTTTTATTTCTTTACATTTTAAATTATTATCATTCCTAATTCTTATAATGGTGCATTAACGAATAAATGCTTGATTGGACCGTCAGAAATACATCGTGCAAATGTCTATGATACATCTTAGATTAACTCTCTCTTTTCTCACCATACTACCAAAATTTATGGAAAAACTAATCGTTTTGAAAAGCGAATAAGATTTGCCTAACACATATTAATAAAAACGGCATATTTTGAAGTAAAAATGTGGAGGTTTGTGAAAAATTTCGAGATTTGAGGAGACAACTTCAAAAACAGATGATTTTAATTAAAATTACGAGTGAGATCAATTCCAGAACAAAACTCTAACACACCAGACAAAATTTAAATGCGTATTTCAGTTAAATGGGAATGCAGAAACAACCTCAGAATTTGAAGAGAACAAAAATTACCAAATGTTTGATCTCTGTATTTCTGTGAATATTTTTCTCTGAATTTTCCTACAACTATGTGAAGGACTTTTTAGTCATGAATATTTTTATCTGTGATAAATCTGTAGACTTTGCAAATCATATTTTACTGATTATAAAAATAGTGTAGTGTCTGATAATCCAACTCCTAATAAACGAATGAGCAAAACATTAGTATGAAAACACACTATGGGCAACATGATTCCGTAATATTATATCAAAGATATTAGTATCTAAATGTGTAAGCAAAGATTTGTGAGAAAGTAACGCATGCAGCAATCTTTATTATTGATTAATGATTATGTAGTTTTAGTTTTTCGCCAGTAAGAAAACCGAATATTAAAAAAACAGAAAATTTTTTTAATCATAATCGGTATACAAAGCGGAGGAAACAGTAAACTAATTGTGTATAGGTTTCAGAACCAACAGAGGAAATTACTGGTTAACGATTCTAACTGCTCTCTATAAATCTATGCTACACAGAACTACCTGCTGGGCTGCCAAAGACACCAAAAATCATCTAGCCTCTTAATGCTATTTCTAAAATGCTTTTATATTGCGGGAAGCATAAATACCTATGCTCAATACATGGGTATCAAAACAGAATAAATAAAAAACCATATTTAGTAAGCCAAAACTTATACATGATCACGCGGTAGATTTATTATTAAAGCAATTGCTCTTTAGACATTTGAACCGGGGACTGACAGTCAATCAATATTAAAAGCTTTTGCAGAAAGTTTGTCTAAAATCCATGTACATGAGAAATTTATCATGGAATTGCGTTAATTATTTATAATGGCAACATGCCTTGTCTGTAAATAGTATATTTATTGTGATTAGAATGCTAGATTTCCTCGATTAGATTTTTTACGCATAAACAGAGCATAATTTAGACTTGGCGTCGTAACCATGTTATGTCACTATAAATGAATACAGGATGAGTTTAGCTTTCACCTTACAGAACCTTGGCTGAAGGTATGTTAGTGAGAAGTATTTAACCATCGGTTACTGCAAAGTACTGAGTAATAGTGGGAGGCACAGAGACCTAGGTAACGAATCGTTTTGGCATTATTAACTTACGCATACTGAATCGGTTAAGAATTATGTTACATAAACTGAGTAACCACGAGCCACTGAATGAAATATGGTTAGTAGTAGAACTGGACTACGAAAACCTAAGAGGTTAACAAGGAAAAGTAACATCAATATCACTGACTTTTTACATCCTGCTATACCTTAAGGTGCCGTAAGCAAACAAAATGTTCTGCCCCACAGACATGTGTAGATTGAGGTTATAGCCCCACCAAAATGAATGCTGGTCAGATACACCAGCCTCTCCCTTTTTGTGATGTTAGGCTCTCTTAAGTTTAATGGCGGATTTTAAACCATGTTTTTTTACTCTACGCTCTATTTTTCGTACAGCTTGTCGGAATACACTTTCTCTACCAGCTACACGTTACAAGCAAACCAGACAACTTTGCCTTGTGTGTGTAGGACAAGATATCCACGTAGCATATCATACTGATTTTAAGTAAACTAGTGGTATAAATTGTAAGATATGTGTCAATTAATACTATGACTTTTGCAATCAATTTCGTTTGCCAGAATATAAGTAACTATCTAATTTTGGGGACTAGTTGGCCGTTGTACAGTGTCGAAGAATACTAAGCAATATGTGAGATAGGTCGTATCGACGAGATCGTTAACAGTATGAATCGTACAAATAATCTAGCTGGAATCAGAAATACAAGCGCTAAACAACTGACTATAACAATATAGAAAAATTTATTCTCGATGCTGCTTTAAATCTTAAAAATCTTAAAACACTGAATGTATTTTAACTATAGTGCGCTCAATTATTTTCTCTTTGTATCATTATATTTTCTACTTTGTTGATGTATAATTTGTGTCACTACAAAGTGTGGTGACTCAAACAAGATGAACAATGTAACGTTCAATATTAATTTCTCGATCTAGTGAACGTTGTTCCTTCATAAGGAAGGCATCATCACATTAAATCTTATGCTTTTGTAAAATGTTGGAAAAAAACTAAAATTTTAGACATAATAAAAGCTGTAAAAAGAATGTAAGTGAATGCAAACAACCTATAAAGTTGGAATATGAAGTAATAAATCAGTAGAATAAAGATATTACAAACATATTTCAAAATCATATCTTAGCAATTAGTAAATGATCCTGAACTAATAGTGAGAATCTAATGATAGTAGAGAAAAGGTTTACCTTCTCTTTCAATTTTAGCTTCACCAACAGGAATCAAAAAGTCTGAAGATAATGCTTCGTCTGAAACGTCAAATGATTGTCCATATAATAATTCGCTCTCCAAAAAAACCACTGATATATGAGGAAATAAATGTCAGAAGAACAGTAGAGTTATATCGATCTAGTACTTTAGTAAAAACAAAATTAAGAAATAAACTTCAAGTAAATCGTTATGGGTGAATATTGATAGGATAAAGATTTCGAAGTATGACTTTGTAGATTGATCTGTACATTACTTTCAGCAAGATCAAACGTTGACTCATTAAGCTCACCTCTTGAAAATTCAAACAATACTGCCTATGATCTGCAAGCAATAATATAAATTTTGAGCGATATTAGTTTGACTAATGTAGTTCATAAAGTTGTCATACAAGATATAATCCAGAGAGTTGAGTTTAAAAAATCCCGTACTTGGCAAATAAGTTACATCATTAAAGAATGACTTTTCATACCTTTAATTCAACTATAGAAACACAAATACTATCAACTGATCGAAAATAACACTGCACTATCAGTACCGTTGGGGACAAATATTTTTTCCGATCCTACTTATCAAACTTGATTTCTATATTCAGAGATAATGTCAATCACTTGTGCTAGGATTTTTGGACCATACAAATTCTAGAAATGAACAACAGATTGTTCATACCAGGCAGGAACGAAGCATACAAGTCATATATGTACATAATTCACCTGGATCTGGATCGCGAATAGCGGATTTTAGAAGGCCTCGAGCGTCCTCACAATTGTAAGGAGTGAGAACTTTAAGGCCAGGACAACTAGCGTACCATGCACCGTAATCCTGACTATGCTGGGCAGCAACCCCAGCCGAACATCCATTTGGTCCTCTGAAAACAACTGGGACTGACACCTAGAAAACGTAAGAAACAGAATAAATTAAATTAAATTATTAGTTCCTCTACTACAAAAAAAGTTTTATTTAGTAGGCAACCTGACTAAAAGCACTACATTGTAAGAAACAGTACAGTGGTTTATTCGAAAACAAAAGCTAAGAAACGGGATAAGAAAAGCCTCCATATTGCAGACTCCACAAAACCATACAAAAGAATTCACCAACAAAAGCGTTATTAACGTTAAGCTAATGTTTACAAACTACGACATTCTATAGAAACTAAGTAAATCTTTGGTTACGGATTGATATTAACTGAAGTCGATTCACTGAATGATTACTTAATGCCTGAATGGCAACTTATCTATATAATAATCTGAGTTCCGTGCATCTGGCCCTGTATCTGAATAGAGCAATGTGATCGTTAGAAGCTGAGACCTTAGTCAAAAGTCCTTGAATTTCGGAGCATTCTAGACAACCTGACTAGTATAGTAACAAGGGCTTAATCCAGTACACGATTATGCAAACATGGTTACCACATGAAGGTTAAAGTTATGACTAGTCACTTATTACAATGGTTAATACTAAAATCAGTTGTTCCGTTTTCTTGATTTTTCGTGGAACTCTGGGTAATTCGTCTCAAAATGGAATGATTTTATTCCCATTTTAAGCTTAAATACGGTTTTTAGGTGTTGAATTTCTCTTAACTGAGGGTTCACTATATAAATCATCTGAGCACCTAAAGTATCACGAAAAAGTCATCGTACACCAAAGAGAAGATATTACAAATTTTAGGATTTAATTTTCTAGTAACATAGACTGCGACCACCACTGTGAGGTGTGATACTAGTTTGGTTAACTGATCCCAACAACTTATCAGTTTAAAACAATTTAAGCAAATCCACGACTTAATTTGTGAAAAATTATTAGAATACGCACGTCAAGTCTCATACGTTCACACTTCAATATACCTAATACGTCATATTTTTCCCTTCTCGGCTGTCTGAGCTAAGATCATGTGTAGTTTCGCAAAAACTGAATTACAGACGAAAAATATCCGTGCGTATGATCCACACATGATTGGCAGTAATATGCTCATTCGGAAGTATAATAGAACCATTTTCACTGATTTATAATTGAGATAAAAAACTTGGTGAGTTAGAAGCATTCTTGACACATAAAATGCATCTCGTTACCTAACAGTTAGGTTAAATAGTTGTGGTTAGTGTTTGAAATATTTCATACCCATGACTAACACAGGTCGTCCACACTTTTCGTAACCAAGGGAAAATCTAGCTAATAGGATTAATTGATATAACATATCTATAAAGTTATTAGTAAACACGCTAAATGCCATCTACAATCCTCCTTATTGAATGATTATGACTTAGGATTGTTAATCAGGACATATATAAAATAATAATAGAATAAAACAGAGGAAATCTCCGGGAGTGCAGGTCACTTGAAACATCAATGTTCCGGCGCTGGAAAATACCGAAAACATTTATGAAATATATAGTAAGTCGAACTTATCACAAACAAAAAAGCACATAGCCCAACCTTACAAAAAAATTTCAAATAATCAAACCCATTAGCCGTACTCACATAAAATGAGCATGACAGCTAAACTAAATAACAGAAAACCATTCGACTTACTAATCCAGCGGACATGTACGCTGATTTCGCAGCAGAATTGATTATTTGGTCTATGGCCTGCATAGCGAAATTAAATGTCATAAATTCACATATGGGTTTAAGACCAGCCATAGCTGCCCCAACGGCGATCCCAGCAAAACCCATCTAAGGATCGCATGTGAAGAAAGTATATTACATAAAAATCTATACCTCTGTTATCGGTGTATCCTTGACACGGCTATCGCCAAACGTTTTCCAAAGACCTTTGGTGACCTAAAAAGCAATACATGAAGTATTTTAGATCCATACTTTATAGGCACCATCGTATTCAGCAACTTCCTCTCCTAAAATAATAACATCTTTATCTCGTTCCAGTTCTTCTCGCATAGCAGAATTAAGAGCGTCCCTAACAGTCATTTTTGCAGAAAACGTTGAGCTAGATGTCTTAAACGACCGACTACATAGCTGTGGTTTCAAATTCTGGAAACATTAGGAGAATACAGCTAAAAGACCAACCTTTGCGAACGAAAATAGGCGTTGAGAAAACGACATGTAAAAGAAGACTAGAATCGCGCGCCGGTGAGTGTATGTATCGAAGCAGCTATGTAATTGGGTAATCCTATTGGAGACATATTTACTTCAAACATTTTCTAGGTCAGCAAAGAAATATGTATTTAGCACTGTAGGAAAATGCTCTGGAACTTTTACCGGTTAGCATTTGCATGTTTTTAGTTTACTGTCCAATGTATTGATACTGTATGTATTGATATTGTTTCAAGAGTGGGAATACATCACATGTTGTCATGTAAACAGAGTACGTCACAGTACGTTTTTCTATTCATTTAGTTGTTAAGTAAGGCAATTCAAAAGATCATTTCATTTACTGTTTACTATTAAACCAATGAAGTCTGCGAGATTTTTCTATCGCTTATTCTGCGTTACATCACATGCATAATGCTAACGTGCCATAATGGGTTACTTAGTGTTAGATTGGGGGCGTTTCATGTTTCGTAAGTTATTTAGGAAGTCTGAAAGATACATATAGTTCATCTAGATATACAGTGGATGTTCACAGCTATCCAAAAATGATGGGTGAATGAGAAGACTAGACAAGTCGTAGTAGTTTCATAAGAATGCTAAGTTGCTAAGAGCGTTATTCTCATATGGTTCTTGGGACAATGAGACCTAAATCGTTTCACATTCTGTACAAGAAGCTCTAGGTAACCAAGAATCTCACTCCTGTTTACAGGAACAATTTAATATGCCATGAAAGTAAACCTTCATCTAATTTCTGTATATTATTCTTAGGCGAACCCCTTTTGTGCGGTAGAGGTAGAGGAACTGAAGGCGGATTCGTTTGACTGAGTTTATATCATTTAATCTTGAACTCGGTCACAGACGAATATAAAAAAGGGGGAAGCTAAACGAAATGGAGGGGAGTTAGCCAACTCACGGTGAGGTATTTATAGCCGGGCGAAAAAAAGGCTAGAAATGTGATAATAGAAGTGAGCAGTACAAATATGCACTCAAGTAAAAAGAAAACCAGGGTTATACGCGAATTAGTGACGAGGTTAAAAGATTTGTGAATAATAACTCGGGAAAAGACCAATTCGTTTATCTGAAAACTAGGGAAAAGCTGTATTGGCTCGAGATGATAATACACACTGCAAGTTCATACTAACACCAGTGTAATGCACTCATCAGTCAACCAGCTATACAACTGAGTAGTTAAAAAACCACTTAAGATTACTAACTATTGGTAAAATCCCGAAAGATATCATGGATACCTATAATAGGTTACAGATTTCTTATTATTCAATCTCCTACATGTTTTTATCGCCTCTCAGGTTTTTCAGCATGGTATGCATGGAAACTGAAAACCAGATTTTTGGAATTCAAATTAATATGGGGACATGAACCAGGGAGTATTTAATAACCGTGTTTCTTAATACTCTTGTAGTACATTAACTGATGCTGACAACGAAGATTGTTCTCAGTTCAGTCATCTTGGTGTTTTGATGTATTAAGAAAGGCAGTAGGTTAGGACTGATTGACGCACATACCCATCAATAAAAAGGCTCATCAAATGGCAAGCAGCTCAAACTTTGTTAGCTGCGAACTAATTTTCGTAAAAACAGCAACTTCCGTAATAGCGCATCAAATGTTTGTGATTAGTGAAAGCTTTTGGAAATAGACTTATTGTCCTGTACTTGAGAGTCATTTGCACTGTGAATCATATATTACGTATCTAACCTCAATGTCATATGTGTTCTAAAACTTAGAGTCACAATATAGCAACCACCAAGTCCAATACTACGCTTGTCAGGCAAACTTGTGATAGCTGAAGTTTAGATAAAATGTATACGGTATTTCCGATAGACTTTTTATTTGGCCTCGACTAATTTCTTCCTACATCGTACCTCTTAAACTGTTTTAGCGATTTTCAAAATACCTTTATGACTGTTTTAATTTCCCTCCACCAACATTATGTCTTATCACTCACATTCTTTTTGTCTCCCTTGTTCCGGTCAGTGAAGTGGCTCACCAGGAACATTACTTACTTACTTACTTACTTTCGCCTGTTACCCCCAATGGAGCATAGGCCGCCCACCAGTTTTCTCCAACCAACTCTGTCCTGGGCTTCCCTCTCCAGTTCTGTCCAATGTTTTTTCATTCCTCTGATATCTTTCTCTATTTCTCGGCGTAGTGTGTTCCTTGGCCTTCCTCTTTTCCTTTTGCCTTGAGGGTTCCATGTGAGGGCTTGTCTAGTGACGCAGTTGGGTGCTTTTCGTAGTGTATGTCCTATCCACTTCCACCGCTTCTTCCTGATTTTCTCCTCCACTGGAATCTGACTTGTTCTCTCCCACAGTTCGTTGTTGCTGATGGTGTCTGGCCAACGAATACGAAGTATTTTGCGTAGACAGCTGTTAATAAACACTTGTATCTTCTGGATGATGGCTTTGGTAGTTCTCCATGTTTCCGCTCCATACAGTAGAACTGTCTTGACATTTGTATTGAAAATCCTGATTTTGGTTTTGTTTGAAAGTTGTTTGGAGTTCCAGATATTTTTCAACTGTAGAAATGCAGCCCTCGCTTTGCCAATCCGCGCCCTCATATCTGCATCCGATCCACCTTTCTCGTCGATGATGCTGCCCAGATATGTAAAGTTGTTAACGTCCTCGAAAGCATCTCCATCAAGCGTGATTTGGTTGGTGCATGTTGTGTTGCATCGGAGAATTTTGCTTTTTCCTTTATGTATGTTGAGGCCTACTGCTGCAGAGGCTGCTGCTACACTGGTCGTCTTCTCTTGCATTTGTTGTTGAGTGTGCGATAGAAGAGCCAGGTCATCTGCGAAGTCCAGATCGTCCAGCTGCGTCCTAACTGTCCAGTTGATACCGTGCTTCCCTCCAGATGTTGACGTTTTCATAATCCAGTCGATGACCAGGAGAAAGAGAAAGGGTGAGAGTAAGCAACCTTGCCTGACACCGGTCTTCACCTCAAAAGAGTCTGTCAGCTGACCTCCGTGTACGATTTTGCAGTTGAATCCATCATAAGAATTCCGTATGATGTTGACTATTTTCTCAGCAGGAACATATGAATGATGTAAATTATTTTACTATTATGAGACCAAACGCTCGTAATTCCGATTTTAGACCTTTTGATAAGGTTCAGTAACGTTAAAGAAACTTTTAGTAGATCATCTTTGAATAAAGTAGCAAGAATACCGAACCTAACACAAGTATCAGTTACTAGTAAATACCTACAATGCATTGAAAAGTCATTCAATTTTATTCGGGCAATCACTTCACCTCACATCTCTTCTCAACCCAGTTCAATATCCAAAATCTTTTTCACGAGTTAGTCTAAACCAATCGATTTACTTTTGCTCCATTCTTCTTCTTTCGGTATGGTTTCAGGCGTTTGGTAGTGTCCAGTTGATAGGGGTCTAGTCCCTAGTCTGCCTAAACCTAGTCAGTTAGCAGTTTTTCGTGGGTTTGTATATCCCCTACTAACCGCACTAGTCCTATTCAAGTTAATGATCATAATGCAAAATTAACGACACAAGTCTGAGGGAGAATATGGAAGTTTACAGAATAATCTATAGAATTAGTTCCTAATGCCTGGATGATTTTACTTAACAAGTAGCCAGATTGGCTGGATTATTACATCAGTATGTCATTTTTAATTGCATGGTTTTTGAAATCATCGTTCGCGATTACTGCTTAAATTGCATTATATGTCGTCATAAAGAGGTGACTTGCTTGAATTAATACATTCAGTGGATAGTAGTATATATTAGTGCCGATAGTTAGCACGAGGAGAAGGCGGGACTACAGACGAATTAACCTGTTCATGATTTGCAATCAAATGGTATGTGGTGGCTGTCTTAAACCTTAACGAAGTATGGAAAACTGCTCAACATTCACTGAATGGCTTGTCTGACTATTTGACCAGGATTCAGTGACATTTCACTAGCCCTAAACTTTGTCATACAAAATTGAATTGTGGAGGGATTGTGATGCTAAATAAACTATATAGTTTTATAAGTCTTCAACATTTGTGCTAACCTCATTAGTCTTAAACGATTTTATTGATGAGGTCGGATTCTTATTGGATTATTTTTAGATATACTGTTGATAGAATTGTCTTAAAAGTATCCTGAAATTGTATACATCAACTTTGCACACAATACAATCCAATAAACGTAAGATATCAGTTTATAAGTATTTCTATGGAATAACTTTGTTCCTTCTGGTAATCAGGGATAAACTTTTACGTGGGCTTACTGCTTTGTTTGACTGGACGTCGAAGGAGTTGATGGATGATGTCACATGGGTTTTAGATTTGCTCACTTAGCTGACTATTTACACCTATTGTTTAGATTTGCTGTTGCGCGTTGCTAGGCCATTCACTATTAGGTTGTGTTTGGATAAGGTTATGGTTGTAACATAGTTCGGTTGGGAATAATGGTACTCAACTGCTCTCTTTAATCGGTTACTCAATTTCTTGCTCACAGATGTTCGATCCTGCTGAAGCCTAGGTTAGGTAGATATGAGGTGGCCGAAAACATCAGTTAGGATCAGAACTCTACATCTAAAGTGGTTAGTTGCTTCCTTAGTACATATAGGCGATGCAATTTGTAGTATCTTTTTCTGAACGTTAAAACATGTTTTCCTAAGTAATAACCCTCCTTCTCGATTTGGCTGTTGTGCAAGATTTCATTAAAAACCCGATGCAACGACTTTTTATGAATATATGGTGGGGTAAAGTTATAGCAAGTGTTGGGCAGAAAATTTTAATGGTCGATGTCGAGTTCGTGAGGAGATTTTCTGAGCGTTTACTGTAGCAGATTGGGGTCTCATGCTGTCCTCAGTGAACTTTTTAGAGAGTTACGAACCTCCAATCAACACTAAGAAACGGCGGTTGACACTTAAAGAAACTTCATATTACACAAAAGGCACAGAAAGCCACATCATCCCTCATACAAAGGAAACCGAAGTGGCATCTGAGTTCGCTAAGCCCAGAAGACTAGCACCTGATTAACTGAAAAT